GGAGGATACGACGCAGTGCCGAAGGAAGGTAAAGCACTGTAATACAGTGAGGTATAAAGAATAAGAATTGCCTTTATTACCCTTGGCCTTTGCCTTTGGCCTTAGCCTTAAGCTTTTGCCCTTAAGGAAAGAAAGAGAACTATTCTATAGGAGAGAGGAAAGGTCTATATATAGGCCTTCGTAGGCCTACTGTGGGTCCTGTAGGCCCTGGAAGCCCCTATACCACTTTGGGGTATTTGGTGGGCTTAGGTGGGTCTAGTGTAGACTCACGGAAATCCATAGAACTTCGGTAGCAGAGGTGCCCTATAAATCACACTATTGTGGCAACTTACTACGTAAGCCTGTAGCCACTTTAGAAGGTTCTAGTATCCATTAACTAAGCCTCAGGCCACAGTAGCCCTATAAGCCTTCAAGGGTCCCTTGTAAAGAATATTCTAAAGGGATCCAAGCCGGGAAGTTCCATTACTGCTTATAGCAGTACTGCCCACTGTAATATCAATCTGTAGGGCAGTAAGTAGGGCACTTAGTAGTACCCACACATCAACAATAAATATATAATTTAAAAGAATTCACAATAAATTTAAAGTATACTTTTCAGAATAAAATAAGTATGAAAAGTATAACATTAAAGTAGTATTAAATTTAGTAGGAAAACTTATCACTACTTGATTATTGAGAATAATAGAAAAAATTTATAATCCTAAACTGTTTCACTTTAATTCTTTGAAAGAAACTGTTTTTATATAGGGACCTACCTAGTCAGGTCCCTATAAGTAAAGATTAATATAAGTAATGAAAGTCTTTCAATTTATATTTTAAAATATCAAGGAATTTTTACTACCAATGAAAAATAGATTATCCTTCTTCAAGAATTATAAAAGTGAAATTATTAGTAATATAAGTAAAGTAGTAAGTAAAAGACAGTTCTTTTTAAACCTTTTAAAGGAAAATAAAATTTAATAATAAATAATTATTAGTAATTACATTACTTATAAGTAAATATGCCAAAGTATATAATAATCTTAATAGTAATCCAGAGATACACATATTAATTAAGTAGTATTTTGAGACTTATTTATTATAGTAAGTCATTATTGTTAAGTTTATAATTAGGTAAATATAAACTAAGGTTATTATAATAGAAAAAAATGGATTAGCGGTAGTAGTTATTTAGGTATAGAAACTTTTTGAATTAAATACTTTTTATTCAATATATACATAACTTTACTAATAAATAAAAATAGATAAGCCGTATTTTAAAGGTAGTAATCTAGTTTAAGTAGAGAGTATAACAATAATATTAGAAAACCCTAACATGCCCTGCCTACCTTATCAAATTTAATAAACAGCTTAATTAAAAGTAAAAAATTTATAAAACCCCAAAATAAAAGTAATATTTTTAGTACTCTTAAAAAAAGACCAAAAAATCGTGCCTTATAAAAACCTAACCGAATATAATAAATTATTGAGCTAAATTAAATTAAAAATAATAAATACTAAAATAAAGACTAAAGATATATTAATTGATAAACTTTTCTCTATTTACATCAGAAACTCCTAATTATAACAATAACGAAGGAATTTTCATAATTTAGGTCCTTAGTTTGCATTTTCTTACTATTATTAATAAAATATAAACGATTGAAAATAAATTAAACACAGTTACCTTTATAATATTTAGCTTTACTTTATAAACTAAATTGATATTTTATCAAAATAAAACTAAACAAAAAACATCAAATCATGAATAACTATAATCTAGACCCTACTTCATAAAGGGGCCCCTTATTTACAGGGACCTAGCTCACTAGACTTCTATAAATACAGTATAGTACAGTATAATTTTTATTTGACTTATTTAATAAATTAATACACCTAACTTCCAGCATTATTGAGTTTTATTATAATAATTAATTAGTAGTATGATATATTGCATATCTTTAACTTTATAATATTAATTAAATTCCTTATAATATTTTAATTTTAATTTTAATTTTAATTTTAATTTTATTGTCAGGGCTTGATAGGTAAGTTCTGAGACAACGCAACAGTTATACCATACCAATTGATTTAATTGTAAGCTAAAGAAGAAAAAGCGAGGAAATTCCAACAGTGCTTGCAAAGCAGAGCTTTTTGACAGAGCAAAGCTTTGACCACTTGCTCTTGCTTCTAGAGTCCCAATTGCCCCCGTGGCCCGCACGTGCCCGGTATCCAGTCCGTCAGTGTCAGTGTCAAGCCAGTGCCGTAACATTTATTTTTATTTTTATTTTTTATAGTATATAAAGTTACTATTAAAGTATATTTTATATTGCTAGCATTTCAATAGTTTTTCTTTAAAGTTAAATTATATATAAAGATAGCTAGAGCATTAACATCTAGTTATTTTATAACTTGAAAAAACTTTTATAAAAACACTATCTACCTATATAAATTTAAGTTTTTATAAATAGAGAAACGTATCTAATATATCTTTTACAAATAAATATCCAATTTTAGTAAGTACTCTTTAAAGGTTTTTTTTTAAAAAAAATTTAATGGCTGAGGTTACTATTAAACTTATTTTCGATGCCTTCAACGTGTTTTCTTTATAGCTTTTTTCAATGTTACCCCTTTCTTACCTATTTGTTCTGCTATGCTTTCTTCTGGCCCCTGATCGATAGACATTGTTCTTTTGTTACTGTTGCTTGCCCTTTTGCCCAGTGGTGGGTTCAGTTCTGAACCCCGAGCAACCGCTCCCCGCTTGACTTCGAACATAAGCCCATTTCTGCCTCAATCGGATATTACACTTTCCAGCACCACCCCCTCTTTTCTCACGGCACTTGTTATTAAACACTGGGAACTCAAATCACCGTCTATCCATAAAGAATGGAGCTGCTCCCGTCCCCGTCAGACCATGGTCGAGTACCACCGTTCCAAGTCATATTATCATCGACTTACCCATCTTAACAGAAGTCCTGCTTTGCATTCTGTTACATTGACGATGCCTTCCACGAGTCACATCAACATCTGGGCTGTTCTTGCTGCCACAGTCCAACTAGCTGCAGGCATTCCTTTGTCACCGGCCGCGGCAGACTGCAACCGCGCCGTTCTGGCAGAGGCAGCAGACGCCTATGTTGCTAGCCAGAAAGCTGGCAGCCTGGCTCCCCTGCAAGAATTTGTTGCCAGTGGTTGGGAGTACGAGGAGAACAACAAGCGTATTGATGCAACGAAGTCCGTTCTGACACAAGGATTGGCCATTGACCACCGACGTACCATCTATGACCTCGTCGACTGTGCCACATTCACCGAGCTCATTGCCGCAAACAACCCACAGCCACATGTGATTGGCACTCAAATCCGCCACGGTGCGGACGGCAAAGTAACCCTCATTGACAGTGTCGCCTCCACGACTGGGTCATGGCTCTTTAATGCTCAAAATACGCTCAAATACGCCCTTCAGGAGAAATGGGACATCATCCCTGAGGGAAAGCGGGACAGTAGAGAGAAGATCAAGGCGGCCGGCGACGCCTACATGTCGATGTGGGATGATGCCAAAGCCTCGAGCCTCGTCCCCTGGGGGGCGCCGTGTGCGAGGTTGGAGGGCGGCGCTTATACAGGCAGAGGTGATGAGGACACATGCAGGCAAGGAATCCCGACAAACAGTAGCCAGGCACCCAATACGCGCCGCCGCTATGTTATCGACGAGTCTATGGGGTCTATCAATATTCTTTGTGTTTGGGAGCACATGATGAACGCGGCCGACAGTCATGAATTCCGCCTTGAGAACGGAAAGGTACGATATATTCACACTATGACTGAGTGTGGAGGCCGAGTATGCAGGCTGTAGGGAGCAAATAGCGAACTGTAGAGGAGCAGCTATTATTCTGCTGAAGCATGTTCAAGGTCTTGTTAATCGATTGGTTTATGGTGTAAATTAGGTAGGCTTACGAAAAGCAAAAAAACCGAGATGCTCCAGGCTTTTAGAAAACCATGATGCTTAGTACCTGTGCTGTGGGAAGCGGCTATTCTCATTGTCAAGAGGGGAAGCCCCTGAATATATGTGAAACCTCAAGGCACATTTGGCATTTGTGTGATGGACCAATCCGGCCTTTCGTTATTCCGTCCAACTACCAAGCAACGCCAAGCAGATGCTGCCAAGACAGCTATTGTATATACACCACATAAGCATCACCCTCGTATCAGGCCCCCCCCCCCCAAGACCAGTATCATAAAACTGATACTACGCTAGATACATACATGCACGCTCAAATAGTGACCAAAATAACTCACTGCCTTCTTAACACCCAAAGAAAACCGATACATAGAGCTAAAACCTGCCCGAAATCAATCCATGTTTAAAGCCCCCCACTGACAGTGATAGCTACGAACAAAAACTGTGTCTGGACCTCACCAAAAGCTGCACCACCCTATATAGTGCTGGCAGAGATTCTCAAGCTTGGTAGCCTCAATGATCAGCTTATTAACCTGATCTTTAACAAGAAGCTCTTCGTTCGGCTTGAAATCACGACCCGTGAGTTTCTGGGAGACCCGGTCAAGCACTTCGACAGCCCGCGCATTTTGCACCTCCGCAATCTCGATGGGGCCATGGACACCGTCATTGGTTATGCTTGGGAGCGGCGCGGCGGATGAGTTTGTACGCGCACGGCTACGCGCCCCGGTCAAGCCTTCGGGACCAGCTTGAGCTGCCAGGAACTCAGTCGGGGCCATCGGAGCCTCCAGTATGGAAGGCCGACGCACCCGTGCTGCCTGGGGCCCGGCAATAGCTTGCTCTCTCTCCGAATTGAAATGTGGTCCAGCGGGACTGGCCGGGTTGGTAAGACGCCACGTGAGTAGCGGGTCGTGAATGAACTAAAGTTACGAGTTAGTACAAGACACGATATGTGGCTATAGGTGGTTCAACTTACAGCCTCGAGAACGGCCATAACGCTCTCCTTATTGTCACGCAAGACTCTCATCACGTGTTCGCATGTAATCCGGAAGCTGCCCTCGATGTTGCTAACCTCCATGGCATAAGTAAGCATGCGGGTAAGCCTAAAAGGCACCCGCTCCGGGTACTTCTCACGCTTCATCGCCACCTCAAAGCAGTCGCCAAAGTCAATGTGAATGATCTTGCCCGTGATGCGGTCCAGCATCAGGTTGCTCGGATGACGGTCGCCCAAGCCCAGGATGTACCCGACCATCGACATGACGCCGAGGGAACGCGTGTAATTAGTTCGCCTGTCTAACCAGGCTTCGGAGCTCTTGCTCTTCAGCCATAAGACCCGGTACAGATCCTGACCCGTTGTGTTATCAAGGGCATACCCAAACACTTCCACCTTCTGCATGAGTGTGAGGTTATCGTAGTCGGGCGCCATCTGAAGCATGATCCGATGCTCGATGTTAAGGAGAATCTTTCTTGACTCCCGATAATCACGGATAAGCTGGTGGATCGTGTCGCTGTCTGGGACCCAGCCGAGAAGACCCGAATTCTGCGACAGCGGAATAGCCGGGTAACGTTGGATGTTGAGATGGCGCTTGTAGCATTCCGAGTCGTTGGCCAAGAGCGTGTTGCAGAGGCCGAAGAGCTGCATGACACGCTCATCCTGCCTGATGTCCTCATGACCTTTGAGCAAGAAAGTGTACGTCTTACCGTCACTTCCAACAATGTCAAGTTTTCGCGGACGTTGCTTGCTGCTGATGACCGTAAAGGTGCCGTCAAAAGACATGATTCGGACAACCTCTTGGCCACTGCGATACGTTCCCGGCACCGCGAGCTCCAGGTCCCTGGCCTGGAGCAGGTCCGGAGAGCAGTAGGTCAGCTCCAGTGTGGTCATCTGTGGAAGCTGTCGGCTGATACGACGGAAAACCTGGTAGTACAAGTCCCAGGCTTGGTTCAGGTCATTGACGTCCTCTGTTTCGCGATATTGCCGGCACCACTCGCGAGCCTCACCCAGATCACGGCCGAACGTCTGTGTAAATGAAACCTCCCGGAGGGTTTGAGGGCCCTTTTCGAGCAGGTCGTGAAGGGGCTCGAGGGCATCAAACATTCCCTTGATATTGTGATCGCCAAAGTAGAGCCGGGAAGCCTCCTCCAGACCCTCATGCCATAGCTCGTGCCAGAGGACCGCGGTCCTAATAAGCTCGCGGCTCACCGTCTCTGCCTGCTCGACCAGCTTATTACTGTGCTGACGGATTGTCTCCATAATGAGGCTGGCGGTCTTGGACCTGCGCGTGCTTTGTCGCGACTTCATGGCAACCGTCAAGGGGTAGACTAACGCCTGGGGGTGCGCACGACCGACATCAGACAACAGAGCATGGATCGACGCCTGAACCTTCTTGTTAGGTTGGGTAATGCGAGCGATCAACTGTGGAATGACCTCAAGCCAGGTATCAACGCTGACACGACTGAAGCCCTCTGTCACAGTACTGGCGACATCGGGGTTGCCACCATATGTAAGCCAGAGTGTGAGCAAACGCAGCGTGTCTTGCAGAGAGCTTCCCGAAGAGAGCGAAATAGACTCGAAAAAACCATGCACAGCAGGCACGGCATACTGGATGATGACGCCGCTGTCTAGGTCCTTGCGAGATCCAAGGGCCTGCACCACTTCGAAGTTGGCCAAGGCCCAGGCATGCCAGGCCTTGTACCAGTGGCGATGATAATAGGTGGCCTTGTAGTAGCAGGAGAGGATGTCTTTGCGCCGTGTGTATTGCCAATCGTCCTTGTTCAGGGCAATCATCCAATCGCCCTGGCGGAGGTAGCACTTGGCAAGCAGCACCGTTTGTTCTGTCCAGTGACGCTGCACATCCGGGCTGAGTAATGCCGCCTCGTCGAACTCGGAAAAGGTAGAGGCCTGATGTAAGCCGTCAATTGCACCGTTACCGGCCTGGGTGGAAGCGGCTATTTGGTGTCTTGCGCTCTCTACCCTGTGGGCCGTCTCGTCAGTGAACTTGCGAAGGCAGTACAGCGTTCTCTCGGCGATGGTTCGGTCAGTGTTTCGCATCGCCGGCTGCAAACCGACCTCCCACTGGTACTTGAGTACTGCATACAGAACCGGAGACGCAAGTCTCTCGGCATCGGGGTCCATGGGGCGGTCGTGCCAGTGAGGGATCACTGTGTCCAGCGGCACATCCGACCCGATAAGCTGTCTCAGTGACTTCTCCGCCAAACCCATCCGTCCAGACTTGCGGCACAAGTTGGCGAACTTAGTCCACATGTGCATGTTCTCTGGTGGCGTGAGCACGAGCGACCGGAGTCGCAGCATGCGCTGCCATACCTCAACGTTTCGCTGGCACCCCTTGAGACGAGTCTCCCATGTTGCCCGCAAACTGGCTTGCTTTTCAGCATCGCACTGCTTGTAGATGATCAATTCTTCCAACTCTGCAAGCATCTGAACGCGCACAACAACTTGGTATGCCCTGTTGTAGGATTCGCTCACGAGGGCGCTCAGCTCTGTATCGAGACCTTCTCGAGCTTGGTCGATGCAGCCCAGGGCTTCTCGGAACTGATTGCGGTGGAGGGCTAAGATGGCGCCGAAGAAGGCGCGATCTGGTGAGAATCGTTTCATAGACTGCAGGTAGTTATCCATAGAGTCCCATTTCCCGAGCCCCCAGGCAGCCGTGGTGGCAAGGCCTGCGATCATGCGTTGAACCTCTGGTGCCGAGTTTGACCATGTCTTGCCAGCCAGCGAGGCTAGCGAATCCCACTCACCCAGCGCATGGTAGCAACGCATCTTGCCCATGACAATGTCGACCGGTGTGGGCTGGTCAGGCGGAAGCTCGCGTTCGCGTTGGCAGTAAAAGTTAAGCGCCTCATCCCAGCGTTCCAGCTTCTCGAACCAGCTTTCCCGCAGCGTGATCCCGTCCTTGTACGCCTTCACCTTAGTCAAGATACCAATGGCGGCATCGGACTGCTGCAACTGATTGTTAATCACAATCAGGGCTTCGACCGCGTGACTGTTGTGGTCCTGAAGAAACTCGAGTTCTTTGTAATGCAGCGCTTTGGCATAGGCGTGACATCTTGCCGCCTCACGTCCCAAGGTTCGAATGTCGATTGGTAGGGCCTTGTCATCATGTTCCATGAACTCGGCAAGGTTCAGCAAAAGGCCCAGAAGATCAGGAGGCACATTCTCGGATTTGATTGTGTTTTCGATGTTGGTGATCAGTTCCTCCTGCACGAGCATTAGTAAACTTGCCGGGGGATCGCGGCAACTCAGTTCTTGGCCTACCTGAAATTGTTCGTACAGCTCGCTCCAGCATGAGACGAAGGCAGAGTTGAAGAGCTCCCTTGCCAGTGGCTGATAAGTGCTTGCCAAACTGGCGCAAGCTCGGAGTGAGTGATTCGGGGACTCAGAAAGTAACGTCGTGCTAAACTTGCGGAACCACTCGTGCCAGTCGTCTTTAGTAGACTTACCCTTGGTTTCCCAGGCTTGCCGTAAATGCATGGGGTTGAGATCCAACTTCTTGGGCGGGCTGTTTTCAGAGGCATGAAGCTCGACTGCATTGTCCTCGAAGCGCGGCGCGAGGTTAGGCGGTAATGTTTCCCCTTTCTTGAGCTTTTCGACGGCCTTGTCATAGTTGGAGTGTTGGAGGCCGTATGTTGAGATGGTTTTGTGGACGGTGTGTTCAAAGTGCAAATAATCACGCCCCAGCTGCAACATGAGGGCACATAGCGTGTCGAGGGCAGCCACTCTTAGACTTGGTTCGTGGCTGGCAAGGACCCGGGTGAGGGGGTGGATGATTTTGGACGCATAGTCGTTGAGATTCACCATGCTCGAGAGCTTGCCAATCGTTTCAATGGCAGACTTGCGCAGAAACATGGGTTGGGCCGAGTTGTCGAAGAGACGTACCAACACGGGGATGATGAGGTGCATATACTCCTCGGCGCTTGAGCCGAACACTAGGAAAGCATGAAAGATCTTTTCGGTCGGTTGCCGCTTGGTGGTGGTGTCCTTTTCCAGCAAGCCGAGCATCATCGGGAGGAGACTGGCAAGGTAGACCTTGAACTCGCCCTCTAGGGAGCGTGCAATGGACTCGATCAACGACATGATGGTGGTCTGGAGCGAATATGTCGTGTCCCAATACTCCTGGAGAACCTCGATGATGTCCGGGAGGTAGACCCTGATATGCTGACGGACAATTCCAACAAGCCTACTAAGGTGGTTGAAATAGAAGTCGAGTCGCGTTTGGCTCGAGGCGCGGATCACGGCGATAAAGGCAGGCACCACACGGTCGAGGAACTGGACACACTTGAGCCCAAGCGTGATGAAGATGCTCATGATGGCATCCACCACGTTTCCGTGCCACTGCACCAACGACTGGTCTTTGAGGATCTGGAGAAGGGCATTAATAACAACGGTTGGGTAGTAGTCCTCCTGTGAAGGGGTTAGTCCGCCCATCATGAGGGACACATCAGTGAGTTGGGTTGCTTCGGTTTGCTTCTGTGTGCGCGGCGCGCGATCTTCGACCTGCTGTTCTGGAGTTTTAGCCTTGTTTTTCGACGTTACTTTGCGCTTCTGCTTTTCAACCACTTCAGGAGGGGAGTACGGTCCGAGAAAGAGGGCGACGTTGTCGTTCTCATCGTCCGAATCATCCGAGTCTTCCATGGTTGGAGTAGCAGAGGACAATGCGCTGAAATGGGCGTGGCGAAGGGGAACAAAAGAACAGTTGCGCTGTACCTGATATTTGTAGGGATCGAGTGCTCCCAGGATGCCCATCACCTTGATGGTTTCCTGTCGTAAAAGCCCGCGCTGAGGCTCGCCCCGGATGATGGACTGCAGGATCTCAAGAAGTTGGGGATACTCGAGGTAGGGTTTGATGACATAGCCTGTGTTACTGGCCAGCTGACCGAGGGTATGCAGGGCTGCCTCCCGTTTAACTGGTGCGCTTTGATCCTGCAATGCGTCAATGATGATGGGCATGAGATCCTTCTTGTAGTTTAGCATCTCTTCTCCACCAACGGTGCACAGTTCCCCGAGTGCTTGGAGGACAGTCGCAGCAACGGACGGGATCGGGTCGCGAGCTTTTGGCAGCAACACTTGGGTGATGGAGTTGACGTATGGTTTGACCAGCTCCTGAGCGTGCCGTGTGAGAAGACTGAGTAATCTCGAGCTTTCCTCCTTGCTCCGAGCCACATCTGTGTATTCAAGCTCTGTCAACATCTGAATGATGGTTTTTCGCAGCTGGGGGATAACATAGGCGGGATTGTGGCGAGCCAACCGGCCTATGATGGACACGGCCACCTCCCTGACGGCAAACTGTTCATCGTGGAGCGCGAAGAACAAGGTGCGTATATTCTCAGCCTTGGCGAGATGCTGGTCAAATCGCTCGTCAAGGGCTGCTAGCAACGTCTGCCGTATTTTGGGTTCGGGATCCGAAACACCCACAGTCAGGAGTCTCTCGATGACATCGGCGACCACTTGGAGGGCATGATAGCTTGTCTGGTTGACGATTGGGTCACGCACATAGAGCTGGCAGCAGGTGAGGGCAGCAGCCTCACGTGTTTCTGGGTCATCATCTTCGACGTATTTGATAGCGACGTCGCGGACGAATTCGTTCAAGACATGGCCTTGAAAATCAAAGCTGCCGAGCGTGTTGAGGGCCAACTTGACTTCATCCTTTGTCCGCTGGTGAGCAAGGGGGTCCTTTGGGTCTTTGGGAATATGAGGTATGGAAGCGAGCGAGTTTGGATGGGGTGCACCCAGAGGTCTGAAGGGTTCGCCGCAGAGAACTTTGCTCAGCATGTCCAACAGGCGCTCTTGAATGGTGGCTTTGACTGGGGGGATGTAGAACGCCATATCGACAAGGGCCTGTGTCAGTTTTGGCGTGAGCTCGCAGGCGAAGATGGGATCAAGAAGCGCCTCCATATACTTGCTCATTGTCTGACCCACGGCGACGGCCAATCGACTGATGCAGTCAAAAACAGGATCGACCGAGCTTCGTTTCCGGGACTGTACACTGAGACCCTCGCGAATATGGATGAGAACGCCGTCTAAATAGGGTGTGATTGCGCTCTTGACCGAATTGGCGATGTTGCCAATGGCAAGAAAGGCGTCGTTGCGGTCCTTGTCCTTCTTCAGCATGCCCCCAAGATACACCATAAACATGTGCAAATAGCTCGCCGAGAACTCTGTCGGTGCATAGTTGGCCAGGTCCGGGATCAAAAGCACAACCGTCTTGCGGATGGCGGGATCGCGCGCGTCTTTGTGGCGGAAGACAATCTCACAGGCCTCTTGGTAGTGAGCCTGCATGTACATGCCACCCTGTTCAAGCAGCTCCTTGAGCACAAGAAGCGAGGCATGGATAAACTCAACCGTGTTGATCTTGAGCCCCTTGATCGCCTCGTTGAGCATCTTGTCCATCCAGTCCTTCTTCAGCTCCTGGTCTCGCTCACGAATGATTTTGAAACAGGCGCTAACGGTCTCGCTGGCAGTCTCGCGAATCAAGAGACGGGAGTCACGAAGGCCAATCCAAATCTGTTCAAAGACGTAGCCCACATAGTTATACATCAACGTAGGCGTGTTTCTGGCCAGCTCGCGAAGCACCAAGACTGCCGAGTACCGCCGTTCCTCGATTCGGTCAGACTGTAGCCACTCAAGCGCTGTTTGAACTTCGGAATCGACCAGTTCGGAAATCAAGGAACCGCCTGGCTTGCATAGTTTTCCAAGGACGACAGCGGCCGGCTGCATAGAGTTGATATCGCGGCCACGCAGGATGCTGCCAATGTAGTTCTGGAAGCGGGTGTACTTCAAGGCTGGTTCTATGCCGTCAAAATCGACCAACGCATCCAGGATGTAAATTCCACCAAGACGGTCATACGTATCGGGACCTTGTATCAATAGATTCGTACGCTGATTGACATTATCGAAGAAGCGCTGGAACTGTTCGGCACCCATCTCTGATATCTCGTTAGTACCTAGAGTCACTCTTGTAACACAGACTTGGAAATAACCTCACCCTGCTTGGCAGCATTGACCAGGTCTCTGATTTGGCGCGCGGCCCGTTTCCTTTGGTTTTCATCATAGTTTCTGCAATGCAAGCCAAACATTAGCAAGAAAGCAGCATGGAGCGCTCAGCAAACGCAAACACGAACCGATTCCTGATCTCCTTGATGTGCTGGTCCAGCGAGGTAGCTGTCTGATCTTTGACGGCGGACATCTTGTCCAGCCCTGGCGGTTTCTGCCGTTCTCCTCCTGAGGGTAGTGGATGGCCTCGACAAGCAAGCGCTACGTCGATCGCCGACAACCCATAGTCGATCGACGAAGAGAGCCGCAAGAAGGGCCAGGTTTTTGGGCTGCGAGTCCGCTTCCAAAAGAGAAAACTTGGGAATGGCCGGGGGACTGTGGTCGTGAGACACGTCGCGGGAGGTCAGACTCGGGGTCTTTTGGGTGGAAGGCTGAGTGAGAGTATGGATGCTGGCGGGGACGGGGACGGCGTCCAAGTTATGTATAGGGTGCCACGGCGAGAGATAGAGAAGGAACTTCGTCGTTGGGGCCGGGCGCGCGTTGGGTTGAATAAATGCAGGCAGGGTTTTGAGACAAAGGTGGCTGGCTGGTTGAGAGGTAAAGTGAAATAATCCGCTGAGATGGCGTCGCAGGAGAGGCTGCATCACTTGCACCCTTCTAATGCTTGTCCAAACCAAGAAGCTTAGGTCGGACGGAGGAGTGGGTGTCGTCGGTCGGCAGCGCAGTTGAGTTGCACTGGGGCCCCACTCTTGCAACGCTGTCACTAGGGCGAATGCATGCTAGTGCCCGTTTTGGCGTGCTGGGAAGACGGTACTGGTTTGCGGCAAACCTGCCATGCTGCACTCCTCTACACCAAGTATTCAGATCCTCAACTTCAACTTCCCACCACAGAAATCAAACCCACTAGCCTTGCGCTCTCAACGAACTTACTCTTAGACAGCTCTTACCATGGGAAACGATGGAGGCTCCATTCCCAAGAGGCGTGAATTGGTCAAAGACGCAGCCCGCGCGCCAACAGTAAGCGAGCTCAAAGCAACCGCACACGAGAGTCTCAACCACGCTTGGACTCATGATCCCCTCACCTCGGAGCTTCTGGATCTCGAAAATGCCGTGTCTGACTGGCGTGGCCGCCTCTACAACTACGAGTCCATTCTCAAGGGCCTGATGCCGGGCGACAGCGATGACACCAAAACCACCGAGTCAGCGAACGGCGAATCCCCGGAGGCTACTTTCGCATCTACCGGTATCAAATCTCTTCGAGATATTGTTAAGCTTAAGGTCAAACGGTACACATCCCCTGGAACAAAGGAAAAGGGAATATGGGCCTGTCCGGTGACGCTAAAGGAGTTGGGGGCATCCACCAGATCTGTGTACCTTGTTCCATGTGGCCATGTCTTTGCCGAAACAGCCATCAAGCAGATACACGAAGAAGTCTGTCCCGAGTGTAGCGAGCCGTTTCACTCCGAGGACATCATCCCTATCTTGCCAACTGAGAAGTCCGACATGGAAAGACTAGCGGCAAGAAACGAAGCCCTCCGTGCAAAGGGCTTGACGCACAGTTTAAAGAAGGATAAATCATCCAGCAAAAAGAAACGCAAGGCCGACGAGGCCAATGGCACTCGGTCCGCAACAGGAGAAGAGGACACTGTGAAGGCAACGCCCAAGTCAGCCACCTCGCACCGGGTGAGTGGCATCAACAATGCCATGACAGCGTCGCTTACTGCCAAGGTGCTTGCTGAGCAAGAGGAACGCAACAAGCGGAGGAAACTGGCTGCTGCAGGGAGCTAACAAACAATGTATCTTTCAATTGTGCTTTGCAAGTGTCGCTATACGTAATATACCCAAATAAATACAATTTCACTATACACGCGCCTGACCACACCCTCCCCCATCGTGTCTCTCTATAGCTCGTCCTTAATCGGCACGCCGGGCTCCTGAACATCTTCACAGGCAGCTGGGGAGCCGACCTCCATCCTGTACACGCACTTCTCAGCCTCTACCGTGCGCCAGACCTCGTCTGTCTCAGCACAGCCAAGGTAAACGTCGGTTCTCCTGTTGGGCCCGTTCCAGCACCCCTGCCCATTCTCATACCGCAAAACCAACCTCTGACCCTTGCCCAGTCCCTTGCCGTCAAGTCTCTCTTCCTCATCCACAAACTCCTTGTCAATGCGCACAAAGTTGCCCATGTTGGTATTCCCATGACCCTTCTTACTCTTTTGGGTGGTCTTGTCGAACCAGCAGAGCTCATAGTCATATTCGCCAGCCTCACCGCTGATGCACTTGCCCTTCAGGGCACGGAAAACATCATCAGGGCCATAGTCCTTTTCGAGCTCCCGCTGCTCCTCTTCCAGCTGGCCCAGCTTTACCGAATGTGCATTCGTGGCAGAATCGCGGGCCTCCCTTGCGGCTGTGACCAAACGAGACTCTCCGCCACTGGTAGGGTTGTCAGCAAGGATGCCATTCTCGATCGCCCAAACCCGGAGGAGGTTGAGCTTCTGGTGAACATAGTCGCGGACTGGCACTGGAAGATAGGCCTCCCAGTTGTACACTACCGGTTGTTAGCTGAGCCTCCGTGTCTGAAAATTGGATGCAGGTTTGAACAACTTACCGACGTCAACATCGCTCGCCTCGCCAGTCTCAAACTCGGCCCAATTGATTCCAGATGTTTCACTATCCTCTTTTAGCACCTCCATGATATCGGAGTCGGCGAGGTCTCCCTTGGGCTCGCTGGGCTGTCCTGCAGCGTAGTCCTCCCAGGCCTTGACCGCAGCCTTGACGCCCTCATCGTTGAAGTTGGGATTGTACTCCTCCTTGAGCTTGGTGAGGATGTCCTCCAGTTGGTCGACCTTGTCTTGAAGATCATCCCGCTGGTCCATGACCTTGTCCAACGTATTTCGCAACTCATTGACGCGGCTTTTGGCCAGACCAACGAGAACACCCAGCTTGCCGCCCTGGCCTTCACTCTTGACGACCTTTCCTCTTTCTGAGCGTTCCACCTCATCAAACTTGGCCTGCATTTCTGCCTTCTTGGCGTCAAGGTCTCGCACCTCTGTCTTGAGGTTCGCAATCTTAACCTCCACCCGTCGGCGCAGCTCACGGGACTCCTTGACCAACGTGCGTCTCTTCTTCGCCGACCGCTCCTTGTTCTGTCTCCGTTGTTCCTCCAGACGTCGGTATTCTTTCCCAATAGCATCGCAACGGTTTTCACACTGGACACCACCGGCATGAGTGTTCTCGTCGCTGCCATCGCAACATAGCTCGTAGTCGCAGACGCCATCGTTGACGTACATGAAGGCGAGGTAGCTTCCAACATGGCCGGCATTGACGCACCAGAAGCCGGGGAGGGCGGCGGTTGTGTTGGTGGTGCCGGTTACGGAGCCTGGAAGCGGCTGTTCTGGAGATAGGGGGTCAATATTGGCGCAGGCGGCGGTCCCAGGTTCGTCTGAGCCATCGGGGCAGTCGCACGAGTTGTCATTGACCTGGGACGCCTTGAGGGTGATGGAGGGAATGCCGATGCATGTAAAGGTTGTTTTACTTTCGAAGAACTTGACAACTACGGCGGCACAAGACAGGTTGCTGTTAGCAGCAGCATCCCGACTGTGGCTAATGGAAGTGTCGACGAAGGGGACTTACACTCGGGTCCAACGCCCCGCGGCAAGCTCTCTGATGCAGCGAGACTGCCGTGAGCAATGGCGCCCAAAAGCGCCAATGCACCTGTCCTGCGCATTGTTCGGGGCCTGAATTGGGTAACGGGTGATGGGGACTTGTTGCTACCTTTTTGCCCCAGGGGATGTTGAAATCTCAAAGCCTCACTAGGTTATCAAGACTGGACGGAGCTGTGTCATCAAACTTGCAGTTCCAGCCTCGGACACAGGACAGCTTGCCAACTTCCCGCCCAGCCCCAGTTCAAGTTGCACTTGAGACACCTGGCAGCTGTCAGGGGAGGGGTGGCTGGTCACGTGAAAGGAGAACCTTGGGGGACAATTTGCCTGCCGGAACAGTGCTTATCTCCTAAAGGCCCAAAACGTGGGGTAACCCCACTAAAAAGAGAGATGGGCAAAAAACTCCAGCTCAAAGCTGCTGCCCCGCCATCTTCATCACGGACAACCCGCCGCTGACATTCTAGCTTCAACCGAATTCGCAAGCAGCAGTCCCGTCTGTACATAGCTGTATTCTCTTGTAGCGGCATCACATTTAGCATCATGCCGTCTTCCGGCGACGCTCTCGAAACACTCACCACCGTTGTGTCGGATGCGCTCACCCTCATCGGCCAACTTGAAGTAGTTGTTTCGGGTCTCAGCTCCCAGGAAATCAGTACCACAGCCTCCCCAGGAGTTCAGCAGTCGCCAGAAGGTGGTTCCCTCGATGCACTTTCATTGGCACACGATTCGGCTACCCTCATCAGAGCACACGCCACAAAGATCTCTCTTCTTATTATCAATGAGCCCTTCACGCCAACAGCCATCACCAAAGTTGTACGAGAGCTTATAGCTGGTCCCCTTCCTGGTTTGGCAGCTTCTGCCCAAGAATGCACAGCCAGACGGTATACACGGGCAATTCAGAAGGATCTGGCTTGGAAGGTGGCCCGCGTGCTCAAGGAGCTCCGTGACCTGCTATCCCAGATTCCCAAGGACGGGAAAATCCTGAAAGATGGCAAAAAGAATGCAGCGGCTGGTGCAGCCGGCGGCAAGGGCAGCATTGCCGCTACTGGTCTGTTATGGGCTGCGTGCGACGACCTGATGGCATTTTGCAAGCGGGGATTCGGCGGCAACTTGGTCTACAAGGTCGACCAGTTACGTGAGACGCTAAAGGATGTTATGGAGGAGTTGAAAGAGTGGGGCGAGGAAACAGGAGATGACGGGGATGAAGATGATGACGACGAGGGCGACGATGGTGTTGCAGGGATCACCAACAACCTTGGGTCTGCTTCCCTCTCTGCGAATGCAAGCACCCAGGCCATGTTGGACGACCTGATGAACTCTCAAAGTTACATCCCACGAGACGACCCACACAAAATCAGAGATCGTTTGGAATCATGTCTCAGGCGACTACGCCTGACCTCTTTACTTTACCAAGCTGCCGCTAAGCGCAGGCTCAAGCCATTGCCGCACACCCCTCCAACATCAGACTCCAATGTCCCTGCTCGCCTTGATGAAGTCTTGGCGCTTTTGAAGGGAATCCCAGAAAGATTTGGGAACCTTGCGATGGCTTTCTATGACCTTGATCCTGACGAGATTGACCGTCTAATGGACCAATGCTTCTTTGATGCATTTGCTGCCTCGGAGCTGCTCGTCAAACCATGGGATGGCCAAAAGGATGAATTCACCGACTGGGCCCTTAAATTTCAGGTAGAGATAAAAAAAAGCTAGATATTTTTGGCGATGAACCACAACAAGTTGCCATCCTGTGTCTCGCCTTTCTAATTTGAATGGTATCTCGCCATTGCCAGTCCTAAAGATTATGGTATTAATGTACCAGAACACCAATTGTTAATCGATATATTAATTTAAGAACCTATCACATTACGCTATACCATTCAACTGCGTGAGTTGTATTTTGAATCAGTAGCAGACCTTCCATCACGAAGTCGAGGAGCTTTGGTACAGGCATTGTCTTTGGGTTCTCATCTTAGATATCTTATCTTCTACATAATTCAAGTTTCTAAGACAAGGGAAAATAAAGAAAATATATGCTAGAGGTGTTACTCTAAATTAGAGACCTTAATTATCGTGCTTATCCCCCAGGATTATGTTGATCGATGTTTGTTGTGTGAACAATCAACCCCTGGGTCAGGGGCTAGTCTTGGCAGGGATAAAAAGACCCAAGGACTGCTTATACAAATGAAAGACATCCGCCACCAATTGCTTGCTGGCCATTATCATTCCCACCATGACAATTTTGTTGCAGCCTCCGCATGGCTGTTTGCACTTGTGGGTGAGCTGGCCTCCATGCCCTGGTGAAATTACGCTCCTTATATCACGAGCATGAAGATCACTAGATATTTGTTATATGTTGCAGCAGCAAACCTTTGCAGAAGTTTGAGTGGGTCTGAAGTGAAATCACCCCTGATATATTCCGAGAGTGTGTTATGAAAACACGAAGGTTGTCAAATCTGGAAGTTGTACTGCGATAGGTAGAACAGGCTGAAGTGTACCATGCAGTTCTTGTAAGGTATGCAGCAAGGCTCTGGGGAAAAGGATAGTTTATCTTGGGCGTCTGTCAAACTTGCTCCCCTGGCTTTGCTCGAAATAACTGGCTTAGTCGCTCAGCTGGATTGAGGGTCCATGTGTTATTCACCTGAAGAAGCCCCTCGCCTGATAGCCACATTGGAAGCTGCCAGACTCTGTGGTCGCGTATCATGTGTATGTCAATGCAAGACACCCCTCGCCTGATAGACGCATTTGAAGCTTTTGGACTCCGTAGTCGCGTACCGACAAGCTCTATACACCATAGCCGCGTATCAACAAGCCCTATACACCGTAGCCGCGTATCACCAAGCCCTATCCACTCTCCCCACGTCTCACTTCCGGGGACCACAGGAATAACGCTTCGTTATAGTCCTCTACACGACCAGCGAGAAAGAGTTTCATATTCTCAACTTGAGGCTTCGAATTCTACCCCGAGACCGCCAGCTCTAGGGACCCTTCTTCGCATCTTCAGTTCCTCACAAGCTCTAACTCCATCTTCAAGTCTTCCTCTTCTTCTGATTTATTCCGGGTTCGATTCTCTGAGCTTCGATCGCCAGCTCATACACTCTCTGTCTGCCTTTAAACCCCTGAGCAGATACAGCCCCGAGGTCCGCGTACCAATCTTTCATTCAACTTGGGCAGCTCGAGAATCAAGAACCACAACTGTCAGCTTTGATCACACCATCCTACAACTTCTGTTTCTCTTTTGAGTCTCTGAATTGATCCAAGCCAGTAGCTGATCGTTCACTTCCTCCTGAAGTTGTTCCGAATCGAATCAGACTTCACATCTTGACCACCAGTTCTCACAGCTGCTGCTCACCTTGCGATTTCACGGGCCTTTTGATTCTACAAGCAGATAAAGTTTCTACCCAGCCTTCAATACGATCCTGAGTTTGAATTACCCGAATCCAAGCACTCTGAAGAGCACGTTTCTCCAGCACCGGAAGCATTTCGACTCCGGTCTTGAGCAGTTGAACGACTAGGATCAAGAGAAGCCAACAGCAAGGACGAGAGGAGCAAGAACTTACGAGACAATCAAACCAAAGGTCTGAAGCTAAAGAGCCCAGTCCTCCACCCATCATCGACATCAGTTGGTGTGCTATTCCAACATCGATCTCAAGCAAGAACACCCCCCCAAAGAGATCAGCCATCAACCAGGAATTGGGTAAGCTTGAGCGCCCAGCACTCCGCATTTCATCAACATTAGCCGGTGACAGCTGAGGCCAGTTCAATACTTGAAGTTCCTGTGCGTGCAGTGATTCGGATCTGATTTCATACACTTGTAAGCATCACAAGCAACTGGAGCTAACACGAAGTCCAACAACTTGAACCAAAAGAATGACAAACCAAGGGACAGAGCGTGGCTAGAATCACGAACCAGAGCAGTTTGAGATGACAGATATGGGTCGAGACAGATCCGATACCTATGGGGGTATTGGAATGGCGATTGGCAGCCACACCAACCGCCCCGTCATCGGCAAGTTGATTGCTACAAGCTCAGACCAAATAAAACGAGGCAAGTTGTTAACCAACTGAGAAGCTTCCCAAATCTCCAAGCGCGCGGCATCATCGCCTTCGATGGGAGGCACACCTGGGACTTGCCAAAGGCAACCAGGATGCTCTGGAGGGGCGCCATGCGCCAGAGCTGGGGACGGCTGGTTGGGTGTGGGATCGCGGCGTTGCTCCTCTTTGCCAATCTCTTCATGAGCGTTGGCTTAGCTCTCTGCCAAGCCAAGGGCAAGAAGGGGGTGGAAACTGGTGTGTAGATTTGGCTCTGGGGAAGTTTAAGAGTCTTCCTTCTTGTGCTGTTCGTTTTCGGGTTTCTCTGGTGGCGTGACGGCAAAGCCGTCAACAAGCTGGCAGAGAACGAAGCCTGGATCGGTGGGAAGGCGACGGGGGGCGTGAGTGCCAGTCAGGCTCTCACACTTTCCACGCCAGCCGAGACCTCTGCGGCTGCGGCGGAGGCAGAGCGGGGGAAGGGGGCGGCTGTCGGGGCTGGCAAGCGCGAGGGCGAGGGCAAGGGCAAGGGCAAGGGCAAAGGCAAGGAGGTGGTCAAGTCCTGTGTCGCGCCGGTCGCTTCTCGAATTTGACTCAGCTTGAGCATGGGAAGCCCGTGGGAAGCTCTGGTGAGGGAACCAGAGGCTTGTGGTTGTCGTTCTGAGCACTCTAGCACAGCATCTGTGTCCGAGAATGGGTACAACAGCGCCACAGCCGTATAGCCCATTCGGAGTTCACTACCAGGAGCCATCACGGCGCTGACCTGCCCTAGTGGGAAGGGGGAGAAGAAGGACAAGAAGAAGGACAAGAAGAAGGACAAGAAGAAGGACAAGAAGAAGGACAAGAAGAAGGACAAGAAGAAGGACAAGAAGAAGGACAAGAAGAAGGACAAGAAGAAGGACAAGAAGAAGGACAAGAAGAAGGACAAGAAGAAGGACAAGAAGAAGGACAAGAAGAAGGACAAGAAGAAGGACAAGAAGAAGGACAAGAAGAAGGACAAGAAGGACGACGAGCTTGGGACAGGAGAAGCTCAGGATGAAGAAGGGGACACTGGGGCGTGGTGTCGAAACCTTCAACGCTGAGGCTGGCAGATGATTAGAATGGGACGGAAGATAACCCCCGGTGTTGAATTTGTGTTTGTTTACTTGGGATTGGATCATGAAAGGGGGTGATGTAACATAATGTAAAAGTAGCAGGCCAAAGCGCCTCGGTTGTTGATTTGTCTTGTCTTCCAATCCTGTGATTATTATGAACGCTTGCTATATATAGGCCATCCGAGATCTTCGAGTATAACTATCAGATAGCTCGCGCCATCCGAGCTCTATTCTCTCTATACCTCTTCTCCTTCCCAGCTGTCTTCCTCCTCTTTTTCCAAGATCTGTTGAGGTCACCACGATTTTCCCAGAACCATTTTTGAAAATCGCTGGCAGGCTTGTCGCCTTCCGGTACACCCGACCGAGTAGTGGATGCACCGGGCTGCTCGTTGCCTTCACGGAGAGGTTCTTCATGACCACCATCGTCCTCCATATCCTCATCATCATCATCCCATGGCTTAAACCGACCGCCTGTTGGGTGTGCCGTATCTGGAGTAGGCGCTGCGCTGCGGATGCCCCTAATCTCGAAGTCTTGGCGTGTAAAAGGAGTCATGGGGATCTGGAGCCCATCGGCAGCTGCACCAGCATCCTCATTGTCATTGTCCCCATCGCCACCGCCAAAGAAGCTGAAGCCCTTTGACTCAGTTCCTCCCTCGGCTGTCTCACCGTCGGTATGCTGAGAACGCTTGTACAATGCTTCCAGAGGGTGTATTGTCTTGGGCTCGCTCGGGGTAGCAGGAGGGATTTTGATAGCCAAGCTCTTGACCGAACTTGACGATTTAGGTCTAGAAAGCTCAGGGCTGAGTGTTGATGGTAAGGGTGAACTGTTGTGTTGTGGTGTTGGGCTAGGTTTTGGTTGCGCTTTGTGGTTGGGGGTTGATGCTGCTTTTGTGGGCGAAGAGGGGCTGTCAGACTCGCTGTCGCTGTCTGACTCCTCACCACTGCTACTGTCGTTGCTGCTCGACTCGCTCTTACTCTCGCTCTGCTCCGCCTTCTTAGGAGCTGAGATCCTGAAAGTTGGAGGGGGCGGGGCCACGGTCACAGCCTCAACCACATTGCCGTCCTCGTCCACCCATCCCTTACCCTCGACAAACTCCAAAGGTGGTTTTGAAGGGCCGGATGACACTGTCATCTTGAGAAAGGTCGGGAATTTCGTTGTATTTTCGAACTCGTGAACAACTACTTCGCGAAGTTTGCCCTTCTTCTTCCTCTTGGATCCGGTGTCGTCTTCAGCCGATGGTACGGCATTCGCAGGCAGGATCGTCTTGACCAGACATTCGGCATGATCCGTGTATTTTGATCGCTCCTGTTTCTTCTTTTTGTCCTTGCTGTCCTTCTTTGACCTCTTTTCCTTGGGCTCGTCGGCAGTGGTCCATCCCCTCTTGACCTTCCTGTCATTGTCGAAAACAATGCCGCTGATTTCGTCATTGTCGCGCTTTCTCTTTTTGGAATTGTATTTTGCTGGGTGCGCGTCGTCCTTGACCCTCTTGTCCTTCTGTTCTTTGGCCATTGCCTCGTCGCCGAGAGGTTCTGGGATCCTGGAGGGCTTTGCGCGCTCGATGCGAATCTTGACGCCCCGCAGAATCGAGCCGTTGAGTTTCTTCCTGAGTTTGTCGGCGTCTTCGCTTGGCAGCTCCAGATAACCGTACCGCTTGTCGGGAAAAGTGTCGAGGGTGTGGTAGGAGATGTTGCGTGCCTTTGGAAGGAGCGCTGACGAGAGGAATACTTTCAGCAGGTCGGCGTCCAGCGGCGTAACGTGTAACCGTACATAAGGTGGCGCCTGGTCGAGGGCTGGCTGAGTTGATGGTGTTTGTGAGCCACCGATTGCTGTCATGGCCGTCGGATGTCCAAAGCCCGAGTACTGGGAGGGGGGTCGTCGAACTATGGCGGTTGGGCAAAAAAAGGACGGGAATGCGCTCGGTTTGCGAATGCGCAGAGAGCAACCTCTCTCTCAATCTTTCTCTTGCCCAAAAATAATTCAATGGATCTGCAGCTCACCGCTTTGAGAGACCCACAGCTGCCAATCAGCTGTGGTGGCTTGGCACTGGCTCACACCAGCAATATCCTTTTTCAGACATCTCTCAGCGAGCCACAGCTTCCAAATAATACCCGTGTACCAGCTGCCCTTTCCACCGGAGACAATGATGCGAGACCGTGATCTCCAAAAGGAGGAAGCACGAAGGTGACAATGAACGTCATGACACTCATGAAATCAAATACTAGGAAGGAGGGCAACGGGACCCAACATGTCTACTTTAAATATCCCTTTCCTCCAGGCTCCAAACTCCCACTCTTCTCTTCTCCCAAGCATACTTCCAAATTTTGGACCAGCTATTCTCAAACAACAAGATCAGTAATCCACACACACTCTTACGCTGACTTCTCGATTCGGCACCATCGCCCTCAACATCCTCACATTCTGCGTTCCTACACTCATTCCCCTACCGCCCTCACAGTCTCTTGCCCTCGGCAGAAGGAGACCGTCTCGCCCCCAACCGTCGATTACTCAAGTCTTCACCGTCACCGGCCATCAAGTACCATGGATCAGTCCTCCGCTGCTGCTTGCTCCAAGAGCCCCTCGGCCTGTTCCGATGGCGACAAGGTTAAGAAGGCCGACGATGCCTCTAGCTACAGCTGCCCGTCCACTACCAATGCCCCTGTCAACACCGAATGTGATGTCTCGTCGCCCCCAGGCGTAAATCAAGACCGGACTCTCAGTGTTGCCACCGAAGACTCTCGCCGTACCAGCACCGGCGATGTCGATGAGCAGACCAAACCTGCTTGCGAGAAGAAGGCTGCGTGTGATGCCGAGACTGCGTGCCAGAAGGAGAGTTCGCCCGATGATAAACCCGATGATAAACCCGATGATGGGCCCGATGATGTGCCCCATTGCCTTTGAGGAGCAATTTGAGCATTTTGCATTGGTAATTGGACCGGTGGTTAAAGATTTTGTATCCTGAGGGGGAATCTGTGGTGGTGTGGTACGTCTTTAGAACGCTGATGACTAGGAGTAGCACCTGTTGGAGGCATTGATGGTTATTGGCATTCTGGCCGCTAGAGTATTGTTAAACTAGATGAGCTCCGTCGTTAAAATTCTAAGTTTCAATATCGAAGGTCCCATGCCTGTCTTTTGACTCCCTATGTTGGTGAATACCTGTGAGTATAGAGAACGAAATCTGTAGCCAAAAAAGTATATTTGTCATGACACACGTGATTATTTATCATACAACAACAGAAGACGAATGTTTTGTACATGCAGGAGAAGGGGGTGGAAACAATGCAAACCTCGAAAGGGAAAAAGACAGATTGACGAACCCTGTTCCGTTGCCCCTTTGCGCCGCCCAGTGTAACGCCCAGTTCCGACCTGCCAATCTCTGACCGGACGCTCTATCCAAGAGGAGTACGGCCAATGCATTACGACCGCGCGTTCTTCTTTTCTTCCCTAACCTCGGACCCGGAGGCCTTCCACCAGACGTCACCGCCCCAACGCATGAGGCGCTCCACAGCTGCTGTTGGGGTTATGGCAGGCCGAACGTCCAGATAGAAGACAGGCTCGCCTGTGGGCTCTGGTGGCCCCGAGTAGAAGTCAATGACATACCTGACCTCCTTCTGCTGCCCGTTCACATTGCGCGAAACGAACCAATCATGGCGATCAAAGGGAGGCTCGGTACTGGAAAAAGACGAAAGATGTTAGTGAACCTGCTATGACATTTCACAGACCGATCGAAGAGCGCAAAACGTACCCAAACTTGGAAGGATACACCCGTCCCAACATCTGCAGAATAGCCGCCTTGGGCGTCATCTCCTTGGGCCTCCCCTGGAACCTGATCAGGGTAGGTTGTTCCCGTCCGCCCTCCTGAGCCTCCAAGCGCCTCAGTTCGATGTCGGCGTTGTCCTCCCCACGCTTGCTGACCTCCCAACCGCGCAGCAAGCCCTTGCCGAACCGGCGCTCCCACTCCACAATCTCCCCCCACGCACCCTCGTTGAGAAAGTTGTGAACCGCAACCATGCTCTCGACGGCCGTCACGTCGGTGTCTGTGTAACCCTTGCGCAGCAAAGCATTGTACATCTGCTGGGGGGAAGGATACTCCCAGTTTCCGTCTCCAGTACCCTTGGGAATGGATGATTCGTCTCTGGATGTTGGAAGCGCATGAGTCTGGTTCGGGGCTCTCTCCTGTGAGATAGAATGGAACATGTAGTTTAGGGGATTCAATTTCGAGAGAAACGACTGTTGGTTATCGGCTGTGGGCTCAGGGGCGCTACCGTGAGGAACCGGGCATGACGATAACGCCGCATTTGCGGAAGGGTTACTGTGCGGGACGGGGCATCCAGAAGCGGGCGGCGCGGGAGCAGGAGCGGCGGCGGGGGTTGGAGCAGCGGAGGCGAAGGCATCAACGGTCTTCTTGTTGTGCATAGGGCATCCAGGCTCAAAATGCTGTCAGATACGACCTGCGGTGCAGAACAGGGGGAAATGTAACCCGTGAGCTACTTACAGGAGGGGCAGCATCGCCGCCGCTCTGAGGATGGTTGAGAGGCTTCGAAACCGCCGGAGCGGCAGGCGTAGCATCGGCCCAAAACCAACCCATGGTAACTGGTTGTATGTGGTGCTTTATCGGAAAATCTACTGGTCGATCCAAGGTCAATGTGGACTGGCAAACCGTCGAAGATCGTGTGAGCAAGTCTTGGATTCAAGCACTGATTAGATTTCTCAGATGGAGATAAGGGAAAAAAACGGCCCCAATTTTCGGCCTGGGCTGTTGAAGAGAAAAAAGCCACCAAGAATGACGCGCATTTTACAGATCTTTCGGTCCCGCGCTGCCAAGACCCATCTCCCCACTGCCGCCGGCCCCACAGGCGATCGTCCCATCGCGCCCCACGTTGCGGACAAAATACCTGGCACTGCGAAACACTGAACCAGGCCTCGAAACATAGCTAATAGGCCTTAAAAGATAGTCAACAGGCTTTAAACATAGTAAAGAGGTTTAAGATTAGTCAAGAGGTCTTAAAAGATAGTCAAGAGGCCTTGAAAATGATCAAAAAGCCTAAAGAATCGTTAAAAGGCCTGTTTTTCTTTTGAAGATACCAGTTATTTTGTTTGCAACGTCGTCCGCTTCACCAACCACAGTGTCACGATTGCAGAAAGCATATCCGGGTCCACAGTAGAGTACAATATGTATTAGGAGTTGTGTATAAATCATGGCAGAATCGTACGATGCTGTTCCGGTGTGAAAAAGGGCATCTTTTGCTGGTTTGCCCTAGACATTGGGTGACAAGAGGTCATATTTGACACATCGTTCAACCTACGGATACCGGGGCTGTTAGTACTACGTCACACTGATCAAGCAGTGGAACGAAACTCACATCTTCAATACTGGCCTGCATAAACCTTCTTGTTTCCAGGCCCACCCATACCATCAACATGGAGAAGTCGCCTTCCTTTACCATATCCTTCCCGCTCTGAGCACCCAACTGTCTCAAGATGGGAAGCGAGCTGCTCAGCAGGTCAACATCGGGGTTGAGGCTCCGACCAATACCCTCGAGCAGCAGTATACTAATGACGACATTGACAAAGTCTCCCTCTAGGCGGACATGATGCTGCCGCACCATGTTCAGGACTTCTTGCAGGATATCACCAATCTTGACGTTTCCCAGAGCCAAAGTACGGCTCTTGACACCAAGTACCAAGTGTTGCATCTTCAGCGCAAACACCTCCTTGTCCAAAACGGCATCTGGCTGCTGACACCGCTCGCACATCAAGTGGCCAGCCTTGTAGCCATCGAATTCAGCAACGGCGCGGAACAGGTCCAGGAAGTTGCGTCGGTTCGTCTCGTTGAGCTCCGTCACTAGGCCCGTGTCGATAAATATCAGCTGCGGCCGGAAACCCTCTCTGTCCATCTTGCTTAGTTCTGCTACCCATTGCTCCTTGTTGTTTCGGAATGGACGCAGGCGAGCCAGGACCTGCTCTGTCACGTCCCCTTCAGATTCAGGTTCATGGCTATCGTGCGTCTGGCGCAAACGTAGGCTCGGCCGCTCCGTCTCGTAGAAGCGCACCATGATGTTTCCAGGGTGCAAGTCAGCGTGGACAAAGTTGTCCAACAGCAGCATCCGCAGGAAAGCGTCGAGGCCTTCCGAGGCAATGGCTTGCTGGAAAACCCCGCCACCATTCGCCATAAACTCAGCCAAGGGGATGCCATGCGCAAACTCCTCGATCAGCACATTTCTGGTGCAGAATTCGGCATATGGGAAGGGGAAAGAGGCCGTCGTCCTCTCTTTGAAATTCTTGCGGAATCTGGAAAGGTTGGCAGCCTCGATGCGCAAATCTAACTGTAGCTTCATCATCTCCCCAAACTGGTCCACCTCGTCGGGAAGCGAGAGCCACTCAATGGTGGGTATTGAGTTCAAAATGGTGGCGAAAAACCACATGATGCGTAGGTCCCGCCGGACAGTTCGTTCGACTCCGGGATGTAGGACCTTGACGGCCACATAAGACGAAGGAACCCGTTTTGGCGATGACTTGAGAACGCTTTCTACATTCTTGTAGACGTGCCGGCGGAGGTCTTCAGGAGTGTCGCCTTCATCCACATCGACAGGGACAGTAAGGCCAGGCTTTAGCTTGGCCCTGTACACCTGCGCAATTGCACCAACACCGAGAGGCTTGTCGTCGAACTCTTCAAAAATCTCCTCAAATTCGCAGCCACCGAAAGCAGCTCGAACAATTTGTTTGGTAGCATGGAAGGAATGGGCTGGCGCATCGGCGTGGAGTTTCGACATGATCGCACACAGTTCGTCGGGGAAGACATCAGACCTGGAAGCAGCCCATTGCCCAAGCTATCCAGAGCTGTCAGTGGTAGATCTCAGACTATGGACTTCAGAAAGAATGGCAAGAGACCAGGACTCAAACCTACCTTGATGAAGGCTGGGCCTGCCCATTCCATAGCCTGCACCAGAAATCCGTACCACCAAAGCGTACCTGTCCGTTCATTGTCACGATCGGCCCGTCGGTTGCCAATCCAGATCGCTGGCACAGCCAAAATGACTGGAACAAAGATAGTAACAAGCTGAAGGAAGCGGAAGCCGGTGCAAATTGGCTCCCATATATATAGATCGAGGAACAACACAATCTGGTGTCGCATACGCGTTAGTCCAGTGTCGCTGTCCGAGATCTTCTTCTTGATTTCATCACGAGAGACCTCGAGCATGCGCTTTTCTCCGGTATCCCGCGGTCCTTCGTTGTCCTTCTCTGACAATTCGACAAATGCTGCAGCGGCCAAGCCGCTGGCACCAGCTGAAGCTAGCTTTGGAGAGTGAGGAGGTTGTCGCCATGAACGATGACGGTATTGCCCCAGACGTAATGGGGACTGTGTATGCGAAGCAAATGTACGGGAAGGTGGGTGTGATGATCGGATACAGCCGTGCAGAAGATTAGAAGGACAGCCGGCACATCTTGAAGCCTCCGCGCGGCGGAAAAGGCGGCCAAGGGTGAGAAGCACACTCATGTCGTCACAAAGCCGCCGAGAGAAAACAGACTGGTGTCGAGCAGGTCGCCAAGAGCATGGTCATACCCTCTTCGTCGCAACTGAAAGGGCGCTGTTATTCCTGGCGACATGGACGCGCATAAAGGTTTCGAGGCCTTTGGCGGCTTCGAGGAGCTGGGACGGAAGATGCAGGACCAGCTGTGACGTCGTTGACCCGCGCACAGACAGGGGACGCCAAGGATTCCCGAGGATCCCGATCCACAAGCGGGACCCGACATTTGCACCCTTGCCACAAAACAATTGACACAAAAGTAGGTTAACCCATATTATATTGTGAACCATACCTTGAAGAATAATGATTAGGCCTTTCTCTAAAGATAGTCATCATGTTTTTAGAGATATTAAAAAGGCTTATTAATCTGTTTTTGGGGCATAGTTTACATATGGTATAGGTTAACTTACTTTTGCTATGCCAATTACACTATTTTGTGGGGAGGGTGATTTGTTCCGATTCCCTGTCCATTATCCAACACTTGTATTTCTTCTAGACTTCTACCAAATGCTATTTTCCCAAAGCTGCAAAATTAAATATCAACATGCTTTTCAATCAACCCAAACTCCAAAATCACCCAACCGATAGTTGCCTATCACTCTCCTCAAAGCCGAATCACAATCGAGTTGAAATGCATCTGGGGGATATAATCAGCATCGTGTACCTAGCAGAAGGTTGGTGGTGGTACTCACCCGGCCCTCGTGGCATTCATTCGTTATTGGGGGACCCTCGACGGTTTTGCCGTTCATGGCAATTGTGACAGGCCCGGTGGCGCTGCCATCAAACGGAATCTCAAAATAGGAAAGGGGGCTGTCGATTCTGGTGCCCACACTCTTCCAGCGGCTGCCGATTGCGACGGTGATGTTGGTTGGGACCTTGACCAACGCCATAACCGAAACGACGTCTCTTGCCCCTTGGGACGCCGGTATCTCACCGCCCTGGCCCCAGGTGGTGCCTGCCCAAAGTCAGTCATACACTCTCTCACAGCTAGTTGATTCCCGACTTACCGCAACCCTCTCCCGCACTTGCCGGGGTTGTTCGGTACCAGGCAATGACCGTGTCTTCTGGAAAATCCACAAGACGAGAACCAGACTTATATGCAGCGATAAAGTATGGGAGGACGGCTCGGAAGGCTGAGTGCGAGTAGCCATTGACATATTCTTCTGCGCCTTCTACAACTTGCGCTGGCACAGTATCGCAGATGTAACTCGACTCGCCAAAGTCATTCCCTTTGAAAACCGAAGTCAGCAATGGCCCGTCTCGGCCCTTGGGTAAAACTCACATGTGATGATCTGAACAAAGTCAGGCAATACATCAAGTACTTGTTGCCATCGATCATGCCACAGACTCTCGCTTGAGCAGTACCAGTTCTTGTTCCATTGCGGCAAGTCTGTTTGATTAGTTTTCGTGTCACCACTATGCTGGAGGCGCATGACTCACTCGTATAGAAGTATGGGCTAACACCCATCATGTATTTCTTGCCCTTGAGGTTGTCACAGTACAAGAGATCTTCGTTGATGTTCATTTGATTTTGACCAGCTTTGGGCCAGGCGTCCCACGAAACTGGAATCGAATTAGCACTCATGAGAGGTGTGAATCCAGCACAGCATGGCTTACAAGCTCCGTCAATGACATCCAGCTTCTCAGAAATTCCATATGGGCCAAGGCTAGACCAATCAGGAACAAGAAAGATGTCGCCTGTCTGTTCCCGAACTGAAATCCAATTTTCAGCCCAACCTGGACCCTCGAAAGTTGAAACCAAAGGTCGCCCGTCCACAATGAACTGTGCGCTTGATTCCCTGAAGCGGTTGATGAGGTCAACAACCTGTGAAACTGACCACTCTCCGCAGGCCATACTATGATGAAAAAGAGTCAGTTCGCTACACACCGCCATTTGGCCCATCTTGTATCGTCAAGGTGTGCTGCTGAACAAGGACCTAGGCAGACATACTCGAAAGAAATAAACATGACAAACTCACCCAGCTCCTCAGCCTCGTGATAGGCATGAGAGAGTTGAGTCTCTGTCCACGGGTCGGAAGGCCCAATGTTGAGAGCAAAGCCATCGATACCGGCCTCTTTGGCAGTCTTGATATCGTGGACCCATTGCTCGACAGTTTGGTGACATGTCAGGCCAACCTGAATTCGACTGTTAGATAATGGTCTTGACAGCTACCTGGCTGGGGGGAAGCGGGCTGGGGAATTGCGAACCATGTAGTGGGCAAAGACTTTCCGGTCATCGTTGGTCTCGGGCTCCTTTTCACCTTCGATCCTGTCCTCGATCTTTTCGAGCAGGCGTTTGAACTTGGTCTTTAAATAGCCCATGGTGTGACACTTGCCGGTTGTATGATATGGGAGCCGGTTGAAGACGGATGGAACCTGATCAAGTTCACTTCAGTCAAAAGAACAGCCAATCAAGTATGTATGCGGCCAAGGAGAGCAGGGAGTTGATCTGGCTGAACCCCGAAAAAGGGGCCATGCCCAACAGGCCCACTCAATTATAGCGTGCCATCTCCACCCCCAGCCAATATTGGATTTGGCCTTGCGACCAGTTGACCGCCAAGAGTGATAATACCCGTCATGGTTCGATCACCCAAGGTCTTGGGTCGATGGGAGACGGATGTCAAGAATGACCAAAGAGAGCTGAGAGCTGAATTCTATCTGATAGCTTCTTGGAGGATCATGGTGTATTTTGCCCGGGGATGCTCCCTAGGCGTCAGCGAGAAACCCACGAAGGAAGATCCCGGCAACGAGCAGCAAACGCCCCTGTGTGTCACATCTGAAATCGGCAAATGCTATTGGTTGACGGGCTTCGAGAGGCCATCGCTGCCGAAGTTCCAGCAGACCAGGCTAGCAGACAATATAAATTCAAGATTGACCCGTCTGTGGGATCAGTACAAGCGATTTTGCTGACCCAGCTGTGGGATCAGTACAAGCGATTTTGCTGACCCAGCAGGCTGGAAAATGTCCGGTGGATTGCAGCTTTAAAAGATGGCCACTGCCGGGCTGGCTGATGGGAAGCAAGCCCTGCCGGCCGCGGGGCCCATGCCGCCCATAGCGCAAATTCACCTGGCGCCCCACATTTAGGTCTTTCCCCACAATAAAAGACCAGACACACACAACAGCTTCCGGGGCGGAAATATTAAATTCCTGGCAACCCTGCGATTTTTGGCTCCGCACAACTGAATCTACGGAAATTTCGCAAACCGCTAACCACCTTCTGCACACGATCCGGCGACCGATTTTCCACGCGTCACTCATCAATCAGTCGCAAAAATGGATTCCTCCAAGGCTCCCGTCAAGCTCGTTAAGGTCACCCGCGTTTTGGGCAGAACCGGTATGCGAAAAACCCCCGCCCTCCGAGACCGAATTTCGATTTCGACCCCTCCGATTCCTGTGGCCGATTGAACAGCATGCTGATAATTTTGGTGGAATTCAGGCTCCCGTGGTGGTGTCACTCAGGTTCGCGTTGAGTTCATGGACGATACTACTCGTTCCATCATCCGCAACGTCAAGGGTCCTGGTATGTTGAGATCCGCTGCCTTCGGCTTCCATGTGTGGGCGAGGGTTGGCAGCTAACATTTCTGCCTGTTTTACAGTCCGCGAGGATGATATCCTTGTCCTTCTCGAGTCCGAGCGCGAGGCTCGCCGCCTCAGATAAGTTGGAGGCATTCCGAAGTTGGGGGAAGGGAGCGTGGCAGCGGCTTCTAGCTACCTGGTCTGCCTGATTGGCAAGATCATTGTCGTATCCTGCGGCGACAAGAGGAGGGACGGAATGTCAAGGATGGGCGTTCGGTAGAACGAGATCATGCATGATTATTGCTTTCCCCAAAATACACGGCGCTGAAGGCTGGTTCTGCGGATATCACATTTGCGTTGGCTGGGGGGTCATGCAGCAGGGCATAATGATGGGTGATTTTGGGCGTCAATCAACAAGAATCTTTCCCGAACAGCACTTCGAGCTCAGTACCTGTGCTTGACAAGGACATTCCAATACATATGCCGATTCCCTCCCTCCGCAAGTTGACCCAAAACCCATCGACCGTGCTGCTTATGATTCGATCCATCGTGGAGGACTCGGCTTGGTATTATATGCTGGGAATGATTCTGATCTGGAAGAGGGCACTACAAGCTACCGTTGTGACTGACAGATGATGCAGACAGGCTTTTCTTAACCCGTTACGCCCTCTTGGAAAGTTGTCAATGCAATGCCCAGTGTTATTTTGAGCATGCACACACTTGCAATAGCATTTAGAAGCACAAACATCCAATATGCCTGCTTAACCAGACTGGCAACAGGTTCACAAACTCAACTAGGCAGTGCACAGCGGACTGGCTGTGTCGACATCCTCGTGATATAGATTTAGAATGCTCGAAAACCTACACTTCAGCGCAATTAGCAACAGTCAACTAGTTCCGGCAAACCCCGGTGACACCCAAAATGGACTCGATACACAAGCTAGAAATGGTCGTCCCCTACTGCTGTCCAGACAGTATAAAACCATCCATCATCGGACCAAGTCCCGGAACTCGAAACCGGAGCGGCAGCAATGCCACCGTCTTGGCGTCGCCCCAAAACACGGGAAATGCCCAGATGAGCAGCCTCGCTCCGCCAAATACAACCTTTCAGTTGCTTTTCCTTCGTTGGTAGTGGTCCAGGACGCATCATACCCCGGATTCTATCATCAGTGGCGGAGACAAGCATTGTCATTCCGCCAATAAGGTGTCAAAGACAGATGACTAGCCGACTTGGCAGAACAGCTTGCGATGCAGAAACCGAGATCGCAGGCGACGACGTCAAGGGGTAAAGGGGTCACGACTGTTGCTCAATGGATATAAACATTCCATGCCGCTCTTCTAGGGATGTATATACCACCCACTGTGCTGAGCGTTCCTCGTCCCCGGAAGCAGCTTGAAAACCTGCGTTCACGGCACCGAGTGCTCTAGGTTTTCAACATGGAGCCCAAGTCGGTCTTTCAGCTTGCTGTCCTCTCACTGCTGTCTTTTGTTTCGGGTGCTTACGCCGCTTTTGGTTACACTTCTTCTGGGGGCAATTATGTCGTCGACGCCGGTTCCGCCAACCCGCTCATCTTTTCCGTGAGCCAGTCCAACTGCGATATCAGGTCGATCAAGTATAGAGGCACCGAGCTCCAGTATGGAAGCCAGTTCACCCATATCAACTCCGGCCTCGGGTCCGCGACCGTCTCGATCAGCCAGATCAACGGATCGAAAAAGTACATCAAAGTTACTTGTGTGACGTCGACTTTGACCCACTACATCGTGGTCCGCGCAGGCGATAGCAGCATGTTCTTGGCCACTTATATCACCGCCCAGCCTTCCATTGGCGAGTTGCGATGGATTGCTCGTCTTCTGCCCGACAAGCTTCCTGGAGAATATCCCTATGGCGAAGTCTCCAACACCCAAAGCTCCACTTCCACTGTTGAGGGCTCCGACGTCTTCGTGGTGAACGGCCAGACCCGGTCCAAGTTCTATTCGTCAACGAGGTTCATCGACGAGGATTCCCACTGTGTATTTGGTGGTAGCGACTTGATGCACGTCTGCATCATGACACCGCAGCAAGAGTCGTCTTCAGGTGGCCCGTTCTTCCGAGACATCAATTCGAACAACGCTGGTGCCTCTACCAATCTGTACAACTACATGAACAGCGGTCATGTGCAGACGGAGCCGTACCGAATGGGACTTCATGGACCATACATCATGCAGTTCTCGCGCTCTGGAATCCCAAGTGTCAAGAACGTGGACGTCTCGTGGTTCGGCGAGGTTGGTGTGACAGGATGGGTCCCTCCTTCGGGTCGTGGAAGGGTCACAGGCACCGCCTCCGGTGTACAGAGCGGAATGGAAGGTGTGGTTCACTGGTTCAACAGCGCTGCTCAGTACTGGGCCAGAACCTCCTCCAATGGGGCCTTCACCTCCCCTTTGATGAAGCCGGGCACGTACACCATGGTTCTGTACCAGACCGAATTCAAGATTGCGACATCTACCGTCACTGTCACGGCCGGACAGACCAGATCGCAGAATATCGCCGGCACCTTCAACACCTCCCGCAATACCCTCTGGCAAATTGGTCAATACGATGGGCAGCCAGCTGGTTTCCGCAACGCTGACAAGTTCCTTCGCATGCATCCCTCTGACAGCCGCATGAGCAACTGGGGTCCTCTGACATACAAGGTCGGCAGCTCGCCACTCACCGATTTCCCCATGGCGGTCTTCCAGTCTGTCAACAACCCTGTGACGATCCGGTTCAACTTGGGAAGCGCACCGGGAGCTGCCACGTTGAGGATTGCCACAACCCTCAGCTTCGCGGGTAGTCGTCCGCAAATCAATGTGAACGGGTGGTCTGGCCCAGCACCAAGCGCCCCAGCCAAAATTGATAGCCGCGGCGTGACTCGCGGTGCGTACCGTGGCCATGGTGAAGTCTATACCGTAGCCATCCCAACTGGCAAATTGGTTGCAGGAAGTAACACCATCACCATCAGCTCCATCAGTGGCAGCAGTGGGACAACGTTCTTGAGCCCCAACTTTGTAAGTAATATGATTATGTGGCTCGCACACGCTTGATTTGCGAAAGGAGCGGAAGAGGCTAACCAAAAGACAACAGATTTTCGACGCTGTCGAGTTGTTCCAGTAAACTAAGCCTGGGACGGTTGTGGTGTTGTGATTAATCAAAGGCCGAAAAGAGTTGGAAAAGAACCCCGACTACCTAATGCCAGTGCCCAGGCCTGCCCGAGGGACGAGGGCACACCTGAGCCGATAGAAGCAGCGCTAGAACAATTCCATATGCAAGAATAGATGAACAGGGAAAAGCTTATCGGATCCAACCTTGTTCCCGTCGGTAGTTGGACAGTGAACCAACCACCCATCCGACACGGCCACACATGCGCATCATCCCGAGGGCCTTGTCATACCTTATCAACACCGTTCTATCGAGATCTAGAACCCGGACCTTCCTTCCCTGGATATGCCCACGCCGCATGTGAATATCGATACTGTTCTAATGGCCATACTCTGCAGTATTACGAGAGAATATCTGCAATTGCCATCCAGCACAGACGACCCATATCTTGTATATTGCTTTCCCCTCCTTCGAGAAGCTGTGGCGCCGCGGGCGGAATCAAGGTCGCAACCACTAGACGCTCTCAGCTTGCATGGACCTCCCTATCAGAGTTAGGGGGGCCCGTTGAATGGCGCAATGAATGGCAGTTTTCAAGCTCGCGTGCCCCCCCTCCTATTTACGATCTCACTCCCTTTCCTGCTGATGGCATTGGCAGACACACAAACCCCCACCACGAAGTGAGGAGATGAGGCCTTTTCAGTGCCGCTTCTGTCCGTCCACTCAGATGATCAGGTAGCCCACAACAGCCTTCGGTATACCTACCTCAAATCAAAAAGTTGATCCAGAATGGAAGCGTGTGTGGTGGAGTGGGGGTGAAAAATGTGAAATCGCCAATCCCAAAGGGGGGCGGCCGTGACACTATGCCCGTTACGGCAGCTCCAAGTAACGACTGATCGCCCAACGGCCGAGGCCAGCGCGATAACACAATGTGATACAGGCGGGTACCTGCCCAATACAGGGGTCCGAACCGCCGCACGGCGTCTTCATGCTCCTCAATCAGGAAGCCCATCCCGTGCGGCATAACCGGCTGTTCAGGTTTCAGTCTAAGCACCTACCTACCTTTACCAGATGGTGAATCTGGAGAAGCTGTACATTGTCTTGTATGGGGGATGGGGTCTCACGATGGGGTCTAGCCTACTGGATGGCGTCAGTTCAACCCCAGCTGGCCATGAGTAACGAGGTAGCCGTAGAGTATTAAAAGGAATCCAGCGGGACATCAACTACCGAGTCCTTCCTCCCTTCTCAGTCTTGAGTACCCCCAGTCCTGACTCCCCCTTGGTCTTCCATCCTCCCAAGACACCATCACGAAAAGCCAAGATGAAGACTCAAGCGCTCCTGGCCCTGCTGGCCGCCTCCATCTGCTCTGTGGCTGCCGTGCCCTCCCCCCAGGACGCGGCCAACAGAAAGGCCGGCCTCCGTCTGATCAAGACTTCCCCCAAGGGTGCCCCTAAGTGGATCTCTGAGGAGGAAAAGATCGTTCAGTATGCGGCGCACGAGATCGGTTTCGTTGATATCACCGATATCACAGTAAGTACTATGCCACTGTCACTCACCCCTTTTCCAGCTTGCAGCAGGGAATGATTGACCAATTCTTTCAGGATTCCCAAGTCCTCAGGGCCCTGTCTGCCGATGAGGATGAGGATGTCTTCCAAGCCCGGGCCGTCACCTACCCTACTGCCGTGAGCAAGCAGGCCCAGGCCAATCCTCTCATCAACCTCGTCTCCACTACCCAACCCCAAAGCTGGATGACAACCCTCACCAACTATCACAACCGTTACTACAGGGCCACCTACGGCACCCAGGCCGGTACTTGGCTCTATAACACCCTCGTCAGCCTCGTCGCTGTCAACCCAGCCATCACCGTCACCAGGTTTACCCACTCCTTCAACCAGCCCTCCATCATCGTCAAGATTCCCGGAAACTCCACTGACCTCGTCATCGTTTCCGCTCACTATGATTCCACCGCCGGCTCGACCACCGCACGTGCTCCCGGCGCTGATGACAACGCCTCCGGTGTTGTCGTCCTCATGGAGGCGCTCCGTGTCCTGGCCAACAACAAGTTCAAGGGCAAGGACACCCTCGAGTTCCACTTCTACGGCGGTGAGGAGGGTGGTCTCCTTGGCTCTGCTGCTGTCTTTGCCAACTACAAGTCCACCGGCAAGACCGTCCTCGCTGTTGTGAACCAGGACATGGCCGGCTACTCCCCCAGCGGGAAGATCTCCATCTACACCGACTACGTTGACAGCGCTCTGACTGCGTACGTCCGTGTGGTCGCTACCGCTTACACTGGCACTACTACCGCCGATAAGTGCGGCTACGGATGCTCCGACCACGCTTCAGCCCGCTCCAACGGTTTCCGTATGTTCCCCCCCTTTATCACTTTTATCCTCCTTTTGGGCTTTCCTGGTGTGTTGAATCAGTACTAACATGGATGTAAACAGCCGCCGCCTACGTTTGCGATGAAGTTATGAAGACTGCCACTCCTTACATTCACACCGCCAACGATGCCCTCTCCACCATCATGTGGCCCGCCATCCTCCGCCACACCAAGTTCACCGTTGCCTTCCTCGTCGAGGCTTCATACTTGTAAGGATGCAATAATAATCTAGCGGTGGTCTCAAATGGGCACTTCCTGCACAAACAGACCATCATTCTCTGTTCATATTAGTGTTCGCTTTGAGAACAAACATTGTACATAGACGCAATAGTCAAAAACACACATGTTCAAACTTGATTCCTGCTTTGGCGTTTCCCGATTTTCAATCCCTCCAGAGTCCCCCATCAATTGGACTTCCCCTTCTCCCTGGGCCTTGATCATCGTCTTCATCCTCCCCGTCAGCCAATAGGTGCTCTGACGAGACACTTGGGTCGTGTCCCCCAAATAGCACATCCATATCTTCCAGAGCGCGCCCTTTCGTTTCTGGAAAGAAGATGTAAATGATGGGAACTGATACTAGGTTGATGACCATGAAAAAGAAGTAGATCTTGGAGCCGAGAGCCGCGATTCCAATGGGCCATATCTGGGTGACGATGATGGAGCCTATGGCGCCGCACGAAGCGGCAAAGCTGAGGCCCCGTGCTCGGACGGCGGTTGGGAAAATCTAGGTAAGTTAGGTAGGTAAGGTTAGTCCGAGTCATGTTCTAGTGAATATTTGTGCTTTGTTCACGGGTAAGTGAAGATCTTACCTCGGAACCATACACCCAGGCAGCTGGACCAAATCCCATTGAGTATCCCAATGAGTAGATGAAAACAAAGACCACACAGGCATAATCTGCTGCGGTGTTGGAGTTATTTGGATAAATCAAAGGCAAAGTGCCGTTGATCTGGCAGTGTAGTCAGTACGGTCTGGCCCTCGTAAACAGAGTTAGAGTACTTACCAGCAAGGAGAACGCCATGATAACAGCTCCAATGACAAGTGTCAGCCTTCGTCCAACTCTATCGATGATAAACATCTCCAGCACATTGCACCCGATCTTAAGAGTGCTTTCAATCCCCCCTGCGAGTAGAGACACTCGATGGCTCAAGCCTAGAGTTCTAAAGAGAGCAGGAAGGTAGTATTTCATAGCTGTAGCACCGCACATCTGCGCCAGGAACTGCAAAAGTGCCGATCGCCACATGCGAGCAAAGAGACTTCTGTCGGCGAACAGAGATGTCCAAACAAGGCCAGTGACTCTGAAAGAAGCTACAGAGCGTTCGATGTCGTCAAGCTCGTCGTAGATTTCATCGGATGTGTAATACCCTTCGCGGTAGTACTGAAGCGTGGTGAAGGCCTCATCAATCTTTCCATGCTCTACGAGCCACCGGGGTCTAATCAAGAAGTTGAGTTTCAACGGTAGGCGAGTAGCGACCAAGGGATATGACTTACGATTCATGCATGAACGGCAGGCCAACTAAGAAGAAGAAAGCCGGGACAAAAGACACGGAGAGAGAATAACGCCATGCCACCTGGAGACCTCGTTCGCTATCCCAAAATGTCATCCCATAACCAACCCTGGAATTTGGTTAGGCTAGCTTTGTCAGAAAAAGGGGGGGTAGACATACCAAAACCCAGAGGCAAGCCCTGCGATGAATCCGATATGATTCATCACAACAAACCTGCCACGATGCTTGGATGGCGCAATCTCGCTTTGATAAACGGACAGTCAGCCACCCAATCAGTCCATCATTTCTAACCACCCTGTTACACAACATACCTTTGGTACAAGGGAACACTAGTTGAAATTATCCCGGTGCCTACTCCCGCAATGATTCTCCCAACAATCACCATCCCCAAAGCCTGTGCAGCTGATCCCGTGGCGCCGACCTGAAGCGCCTGACCAACACAGGTCACCCCCATCCCCACAAAGGCAGCATGGCGCCGGCCAAGCTTGTCTGCTGCCGGATGAGCAAAGAAAAGGTAGCTGGTGAAAGTGCCGAGGTAGTAGATGGCCGTGATGAGCCCGCTCAGAGAGGCATCTGGTCTGTGGAGTGTCTTTTTGAAACCGGGGTGGACGAGTACCGAGGCGAGGACGCCAACATTATATCTACATTGGACTATGTAAGTCCAGGGTTACCAGTGGGGAACTGTGATGAGGTTTGAAAAAAAGTATCTCACTTACCCCCAGATAAACGACCCCAGTGCAAGGAACAAACAAAACGAATGTAGCCGCTGTGAGGCTTTTGTAAAGCGTGTTCCTCCCATTTGCATAAAAAGATCATGCGGCCATCGAATATCTCGAAGCACTTGGTGTGAGACCGAGACCTGAAGAAGTCTTGTTTGGAATTGCAGTGTGAATGAGGACACAGAGGTCCCAGGCCCCACTCGCTCGGCACATGGCACATGGGACAACGTAGGTTGGTGGTGCTTGCCTTATTTGGAGAGAATTGTGACGGCACTTGGCTGCAGTGAGACACTACTTGAAAACCAGCCAATAGTTTTTGTTTTTTCTTATAGCTCCCCAGCAAATCCGAATTTGTAATAGTGATGAATATCAAGGTGGTCGTCTATAAACCTTTCCCTGGGATTCCAGAGTGACTCTCTCTATTTCAAAATATGGTCTTTTGATGACTCGTGGCCAATGTAGCCTGACAACTTGGTCACCCTTCTTTTCCAAGATGACCTACCCCACGCCAAGTATGAATCCGGGGCAAGACACGCCGACACCATGACCAATTCGCTCAGCTAGGCCAAGTCCTAGTCCAAATAAAAAGAAAGGGATAGTCAGCCCATATATATTCTTGGTACATACAGCAGGTTCTTTAACAACGTCTGTTTCACATCTAAAGCAGAAGTCCATCCTATCCACCCTCCCCAATTCTCTACGTATACATACACCTAAAGTTGCTCAATCTTGGACGCAAAGTCGGCATTCTTGGCCTGGGTACCGAGAGAAAACACGGGGTGGCCCAAGCTGTCGTGAATACCAAAGGTGGATGAAGGGTCCTCCGGCGTGTCGACGGGGTAGTCACCATAGGCGAAAGCGAGTGTGCTGTCATACTCGGGATCTAACTCAGTGAAGCCAATGTCTTCATCACCCCATCTCGAACAGCCCGTGCAAACAGCCGTGATTTGAAAGTGAGTGGCGTTGACATGGGTGCCGGTCTTGACGATTCTGTATTCGGCGTTGGGATACTCGGGAGGGCTGTAGTAACCACTGTAGGAAATGAATGTTAGCATCAATGGCCAGACTGTTGCTGCCGAGCCACCGAAGGGGACACGAACTAGGCGATCCTGGACGAAAGAACGACGTCGTTGCCGTTGGGCCAAACGATAGTTAAGGGATTATAGGTCATGTGGCCACCCCAGGCGAACCCAGCCCAGCCAACATCGATGGGCGCCTCAACCTGCAATACAGTGTCGAAGATCTTGTCACCCTCCGGGATGTCCTCTGGGATAGCCACACGCCAGGAGATGCCGCGAGCACTGGTGTAAGAAGAGAATTTCAAGCCGGTGTCCGGATCCTCATAGGCAACCGAGTCGGGCTCAAAGGCGAACTGTCTAGGAACCGGGGCCGCTAGAAGAAAAAGATATGTCAATATACAAGGTGGCAGCACGGGGCCGTGGGATTCCATACTGAGACCTAAGAACGCAGCAGCGCGAGCAGCAACTTCAGAGAAGAGCATTTTGACTGATGGTGGCACAAGACAAAAAGACGAAACGAAGCAGGGGATGGGTCTACCAGCATGGTATCCGGGGAGGACTTTTATAAGAAGGCCCCTACCAAGGGCGTTCATCCGGGAGCTACATTCCTTGCACCCTAGATCGTCATCCAATAATTCCGCACATGTAATGTGTATTGGCAATATAAGCGCCGCGTGGTTGAGCTTGGTGATCCGGGCTGTCACTACGCCCCAGAAGACACGCACCGTATCCAGGAGTCACTTTCATACCAAGTGGTCATCACTCTTCGGTCGATTCCGGTTGGTCCGTTGCTGGCGTGGTGCTCCGGAAGCTCGTGGTGAAGAAACGCCCATTCTGGTGGTCTGATGCCACCTTAATAAACCAAACAGGGACTTGGTGATGCAAGGAGGTACCTGGAAAACACTTGGTTCGCACCAGCCAGCGACGATCATAAGTCGTTGATTGGAAGGATAAAGCGAGGTGATCTATGAGATAGATGAAATGGTCGTTGATGCGGGGTGCGGTGGAATATGAAGCGGAACGGGACGGAGGGACAAGATTGGGCGGTTGGCTGGGGACAAGCATTGAGCAGGAAACGAGATGGTGAGAAAGGCTGATATGGCCCATGGAGGCAGAACCACGACCCTCTTTAGCCTAATCGTAGCGCAACCTCAACTTGTCCGAATAGATGAGTTCCTGCGGGGATGCAAGGGCCCGTCATGGCCAGGCCTTTGCTTACTTTTCGAGTGAAGGACAACTTCTTGAAAGTTAAGCCTTGTTCGCTGACAACAATGGTTGGTCGAAGGGGAGGCAAAGGACAAGTCAAATCCAAGATCTCTCCGGATCAATAGCCGAAACCAGGACTCTCGACCCATTAAGCACAGGCATTTTTTTTCTACCAGAGAATCTGGTATGAGTTAAATGGTCGATTAAAATACGGAGCAGAGTCTGGATGTGATGATCTCTGTCGAATTAATTGTACGGGCAGGAGAGTCGACGGATGTCTGTAGGTTACGGGGACAGTATGGTGGGGTGGGTGCTTGTGCCAAGGGGTGTGCCTGACCTCATCTGGTTCCGATGCTTGGCGAGGGCTCATCCAAAATCCTAGGATCTGCTCATTTAAAACACAAGCCTCTCAATTTTCCGATGCTTCAAGAGAGGTGTGCCAAACGATCCGAGATGTCTTCCACCCATGTTGAGAAGCTTGGGCCACCCAATTCAGGGTTCCCCCACGCTGAGCTTTCCCCGCATGTTCAGGGTTGTGCCTGCAGTTTGCACATCTCCACTCCAAAATGCCCCTCTTTCTGTGACGGCATTGATCAGCAGCAGATCGAGAGCAAGCCACAATGTTGATTATGCACCAAGATCGGCACTGATAAGATGCTTTCCCATCAATGATCTCTAGTTCGGCATCACAATCGACATCGACAACATATCCCCCCCCCTCCCATACCTGTGTCGACGCATGTTGAATTCGTAATGTTGCAATATACAGCCCCTCTTGCATCACCCGCCCTGCGCCATGGATAAGGGCTGAACTTCTGCACCCCACCTTCTCAACGGCCATGACCCGCTCGTCGCCGCACACGAATTGAAAGCCTCACATTCCAGTCCGCGACAATCCCACGGCCCCGCCTCACCTTACCTCCAAACCACCGCTTGACATATTCGGTGACACCACCACAAGTCACCGCCAACCTCCAGCCAACCATGGCACCCCCCAAACCTCACCCTCCCATCTCTACCACCCTGCCCCCACTCCTCCTCGGCACCGCAACCTTCAACCACCAATATGTCTCGGACCCCCTGGCCATGCCCTACCGCGACATCGTCTCCCGCGCCATCTCCCTCGGCGTCAAAGCCTTCGACACATCCCCCTACTACGGCCCTTCCGAAGTCCTCCTCGGCACCGCCCTCGACAGCCTCATGAACCCCACTGCCTCGGCCTCCAACCCCCTCCCCATCCCCCTCGAGCGCGAGTCCATCTTCCTCGTCACAAAAGCAGGGAGGATAGCTGGCGACGAGTTCGACTACTCCCCCACCTGGATCAGATACTCCATCCTGCGAAGTCTTCAGCGCCTGCACACCGAGTACCTCGACCTCGTGTATATGCACGACGTCGAGTTTGTCTCCCCAGACGAGGTCCTAGCAGCGGTGAAGGAGCTCCGGAGGTTGCGAGACGAGGAAGGGCTGGTTCGGTACGTGGGCATCAGCGGGTTTCCAGCCCATGTGTTGGCCAGCTTGGCCGAGATGATTCTGGACAAGACCGGGGAGCCGTTGGATGCGGTGCTGAGCTATGGCCACTTTACGGTGCAGAATCGCAAGTTGGCGCTGCCTTGGGTGGCCGGGGAGACGAGACCAGAAGAGTCATCCTCATCGCCGTTGGCGAGGCTAAAGAGGGCTGGTGTCGAGGTGGTGTTGAATGCGAGCATGCTGGGCATGGGCTTGCTCACCAACCGGGGCATCCCCCCTGATGAGAGGAGCGAGGCCTCTCCGCTGGCGAAGTGGCATCCTTCACTTCCTGAGCTCCGGGTGGCGTGTAAGGAGTTGGCGGGGATTACTGGCACAGCTGGCGAGCGTTTGGAGTCGGTGGCGATTCGGTGGTCGTTGCAGGAGTGGGCGCGCATAGGGGCTGCTGCTGGCGTTGGTGTGCAGGTCCCATCAACTGCTTCCGGCAACGATACCGCCAAAGTGGGTGCTACCGTGTGCGGTGTATCGTCCATTAGCGAGCTTGAAGAGACAGTCGCGGAGTGGAAGGGGGTTCTGTCCAGTCTCGGCCATGCCGTTGACGGGAAGATCGATCCTGCATATGGTAAAGAACGGCAGGACAAGGTACTGCGACTGGTTCAAAACCAGCTGTGGCCAGCGCTTGGTAGATGGGTGGATTATGCTTGGGAAAGTCCGGGTCCTGGCTATGTCAACACTCGTCCGGAGGAAGACAAAGGTCGGGTACCGTCTGATTCTATAATGATTGCATACCAGCAACGCCTGGCCGCCAGGTCAACCAGAGATGCACAGCCGAAGTAGCAAAATCTGATCAGTCTCTTCTTCACGATTGCACCCAGCGAAACCTGGTACATTGGTGGTCTCCAAAAAGGACCTTGTCATTGCTCGTCTACCTGCCGCGTGAGAATACAATGCTTCCAGAAAATGTGAATCCTAGACGAAAACAGCCCCTAAAAGATCAGGTGCTCCAGACTCCATTCCATCACTGACGCCCACTTCCAGTCTGATGCCATAGCAAAAAATGAAAACCCATTCTTTGTGAATGGAAGTTCGCTGACATTGCGAAACGTAACGCGAGAAAAAGTACGAGGGGGTTAAAAGGGGGCAAACGATGGGTGGGAGAGAAGACGGTGTATGCACAAAACACATCCAACACACAGTGTCGCCTCTTCTTCATCTCCCGTTGATGTGTTCTAGGAACCTGCGTCAGCTGCCTCTGGTCGCAGGAGGCCACACCGAATCAGACCGCATAACTATTGCGTGAGTTGGTGAGTGCGCTCCACAGTCGTTGTCTGGTAGCCAAGTTGCTTCGAATCCTCGCCAATCTCGACTGCGGGAGTGTCGGGTGTAACCATCACCTTAGGTGGAAGCGACGGATCCGAAGTGCTGGGCGCTTCTAGGTGCAGTAGTTCCCTCTCGATTTCTTCCCCAGTTTGCTTCTGAGCAGCTCCATTCTGTGCTGCCTCGGCCAACAAGTTTCCTCCGGCTTGTTCTGTTGTAGTCGCCTTTTGTTGGGGCTCTTCTGAGCGTTTGCTCTTCTCCAACTCGATTTGACTCAGTCGCCTTCCGGCGTTCTCGCCCTCTAGACTGACCCCGACCACTTCCGCTAGACTTCTGAAGTTGAGCAAGGGCTCAGTGCTGGCGCTAGGATCACGGTCACTCTCTTGGCACTCGCCTTCCTCGGTGGCAGAACGACTTTCAAGACTGAGACCGCTTCCGCGCGGATCTTGAGCGGTGGATGGCGATGTAAAGCTGCTAGGTTGGCTGTCAAGGATAGAGGAAGAGACTGAGGAGGCACTGCTCATTTGTCTGAGGTGGGATGGGCCTGCAGGTTGGTGAGTCGCCAGGACTGGTCGGGAGGCAGCGGTGGCGGAAGAACCATCAGAAGTGATGGGTCTATTGCGGTCTACGGCCTTGCCCTTGTCCTTGGTGTTATCATCAGCTGCTGAACCTGACGCAGCTGCAGCAGTCGTTGCCAGCGCATTTGTGACGCTGGCCTCCACACGAAGGTTGCTAGAAGCACTGTTTCCTCGCTTCCTCTCCACGCTCAGACTACTTGCGCTTGCTTGGCTGTTTCCTGTACCGTCATCATAAGGCCCGCCACCCACCTGTGTTGGCTTATTCTCCTCTTTTGTTTTTTGCTTGGCCTTTTCAAGCTCTTCTTTCCGTTTCCGCTCCTCTTCTTCGGCGAGCGACAAACGGATAGCCTCCATGACCATAATCTCCTCGAGCTCTTCAGCGCGCATGCGTGGAGAGACAACGTTGCTGGATGTTCCGCCACGATTACCCCGCTGACCTGAGGAGTCGGCATCACCCGCAGGCGTTGCGGAGCCGCTGTCGCCATTGTCTCCCTCGCCGTTATTCTGCCCCCCTGAGGGAGCTCCCGTCGATCCCGAACCGCCCGTGTTTCTTCGCCCAAAACGACTCCGAAACGCCCGACTCTCAGTATTCCCCATCATGAATGCCGCAGTGTGCAAAGCGGTGGCAGCAGCAGCTCGTCTTGCTTGATGAGCACGCGCAGCTTGGAGTTTGGTTGCCCATTCTGGTCGGATACGGTCTGTCAAGATAACATTTGGGCTGGTTGCAGAGAGAGACTGAGTCCTTCGCCGGCCCCCGCCAGCAGCCCCCGCGGGGGGCGACAGAGAAGCCGAGTTTACAGAGCTGCTGGACGACATGGCGGTGCTCATGGATGACAGAGCTGCGGGAGCGATAGAATATGCCAGGCCCCGTCTGAAAGGTGGCGGATCGTATGTTACACCGAAATCTGGTTGAGTACAATAGGGGCAGCAGGCGGGCTCTGATACCAACATCCCGGCCGCCTCTTCGGGGTTGTGGTTTGGGTCGTTCTCGTTATGCCCCTCGGGAAAATGCGGATCAGGTCGCTTAATCTGAACGAAGCACTCACTGCAGATAGCCTGTCCACAACACCGCGTCTGGTTGAGATATGGCGGGTAGGTCAGAAAACAGATCGGACACTCGGTGGCATTCTTGTACAGGAACACCTCGATGGGTTGTCCATTGACAAACGGGTCATTGGAAATGTTGATTTCGCGGGGCACAATCTCAGTCGTCGAGCCATTTCGAGAGTTCCCGCCGAGCACGGCGGCGAGAGCTTTGCCACGCGGTCTAAAAGGGGAGCTCGTTCTAGCGGGCTGGCTGGAGATGGGAGAAGGAAGCGCAGAGCCTGGGTTAGACATGCTGTGTTCCGACGTTGTAGACTGTGTACGGCCAGCGATCGGAACCATGAGGCTGTTTATATTCCGGGAGCCTTCCGTATGGTCGTTTGCTGACAAAGGACGGGGAATCAGCTCGTCAGGCGGTACTTCATCGGCAGCTGGAATCGGCAGGCCGCGTGCTGCGGCAATAATTTGAGGTTCTGTCCATTGGTCATCAAGGTCGTTCAAACCTCGCCAGAAAGGGGCGATTTTTCTTTCGATCTAAAGGCATGTCAGTGCTGCTCACAACAGGGACTTGAAAGCCGTATGCTTACCTGCAATTGCCGAACAATCTGCTTGTTGAAGTCTTCGACACCAACGTATGTTCCCATGGTAACGAGAAATCCACCATCGACGTTCTCCTCCTTCATGCTCCGCTCTCTTTCCGCCAACCGCTGGACTCTTTCCCTCTCCAGTCTGCGGGCTTCCCGTTCTTGTTTTGTCTCTCTGCGCTCATGATGATGCTCGCTATGGGAGCTCGAGCCTCCCACCAGGCCTAGGACACCCAAATCACCGCGGCTCAGCCGATTCCGCCGTCCTGGCGACCTGTCTGCATGTAAAGAACCGGTGGCACCCGGCTGAGAGGCGCCGTGGTGGCTGCGGTGGCTTCCATCGCCGCCGCGCGACTCCTTCGTGCTGGCGTTTCCCATGTTGCAGCGGTTGAGGCCTTAGGCCGTCATGCGTATTGGCCGTCTCCCGGTCGTCGCTGGCCGTTTGTCGCAATCTCGCAACGTTGCTTGTAACAACTACGGCTGGCGTTTCTGCAGAGGAGAGCGTCTGGCTGGAAATTGTGCCTGGAGATGGTCGGCAGCAGTTCGATGGTGGGAGTTGTCGATGGATTGTGTTCTGGAGGTCAAATGGCAGTGACGTCGACAAGTCCAAATGATAGGCGCGGACGCTGATGGGGTAAAGCAGGATCTGGGGGACCTGCGCACATCGACAAGCGGAAACAGGGCGATGGTTCGGGACAAGATCGGCGGAAGGGAGGTATAGATAGTTTGATATTGTAGTGTTCAAAAATGCAAGGGAACGTAACTAATTGCGCGAGCAGAGATGAGGTTGACTGTTGATGTTGCTTTGCTTGGGCCGGATATGGCGGAGGCGGGACGGAAGTTGGCGGTCGGTTGATGGATTCAGTGGGGGAGCACACCCTGACATGACACGTCCCTATTGTGTATCTTGAAGCCTACTGCGAGGCTGAGATATGCGCCGATGAACGGTGGCCTGTCCGGTGGGATGTGGAAGTAGTTACACGATACTCGGGACGCATAGAGCGGGCCCCGATGCCAGACAGTCGGCGAAAACAGGTATCCGTATTATTGGCGAGGCCGGCGATGGCAAGATGACGGGATGGCTGTGGTGCTGGGGAATCGATGCCAAGCAATGCCTTCTCCAAAGTCAGGCGGGTGGCCCATGCACCAAAGCGGGAGGTGTCTGAGCACGAGCCACATCCCTCCTCTTATCACCGTTTGCTTGCGGCCGCCACATTCCACCACCTCGGTATCTCATCAAAGAGCCTCTCAAGAGATTTTATGTGCGACTGTGAGCATTTTCCAGAGTTTATGTCATCTTGTCTAACAGCCACGAGTACATTCCTTGGGTCGGTAGGTGTTTCAGCCCGAGTTTGGCTGGCCTCATGATGGCTGCCTCATCTCAAGCACAGCGTGAAAGCTGGTGTTATCCTTGAATTATCTTACATACTTGTCGAGAAAATGCCGGATAAGTTTCTCCATGTAACCATATAGAAGCACTGAGTTCCAGGTGAACCCCTTTCCTTCAACATTGTGGATGCTTCAGTCGTACGATCATCAAGCTGGACCTTGTTGCCTAATCTGCACTGAGATTAAAACCAAGTCAGATAGGTTATTTTGACTCCGGTGGCGGATAACAAAAAACTTTGAATGGTATAAACTACGAAATGAATGTAAACTGCACTTCAAATATGTTAGGACGGCCTTGAAGCTATTGGCACGTTCTCAAAGATGGTGTCCAAGGTCAACTCAAGTATGTTGAAGTTTTCGATCAGCCTGCCAGGGCGAATGCAAGCTCTAGAGCTTTTCGAGTGTGTTTTACTCTTCTCCAGTCATGAAGAGCCGACTGCTGCCCACAGGGTATTCACCTTGTGAGTAAAGCATACCTGGTAAGGACTACAGAGCCATGTATATGCATCAAGAGGCAGTTAAAAGGGCCCGGCAGAAGTCAAACACCCCGTTCGATGTTTTGGAAATATGTAATATCCGGTAAGTATTTAGAGCGTATTTGCTGTCTATCATTCAAGGCCTCACTATCATGTTTCTAGATGTTCTTGCTATCTCTCTGGCACTTGAATTCAGTAGCAGTCTCTATTATTCTCTCTATCTATTATTCTCTCCATCTATTATTCTCTCTATCTATTATTCTGTCTATCTATTATTCTCTCTATCTATTATTCTCTCCAGAACGTGAGTGGTACTCCATGGCAAATTTCGATCTGAGTAGTGACTTCCTGATGTTCTCAATAACGATTAACAATTTACCATGATGATTGCCCACCCACCACGTAACGTACATTATAAGCGAGTGCACCATATAAGCGAGTGCACCACTTTCCACCACCCTACGAATACTATCCTCAATTACACCACATCAACACAAGGAATTAACTATAATTACATCAGAAACAGCTGAATCTGAGGCATCTGCAGCTTCCTGGCAAGTGCGCGCATTATGGCCAGGCTTGCCGCACACACTACAGCACTGAACCTTCGTACGAGCCCCCCCTGCATTACTACTATCCGGCTGCGTTTCTTGCACTCCCTCCTTATCCACGGCCTTCTGATCCAATAGATCCTGTGCCTCTTGTATAGTAAGTGACCCTCCAAGCCTTACACGTTTTTTTTTAGCTCTCCGGCGCTTACTTAGTGCCTCATTGGCCTTACGGAGCGAAGAGACCTCTGCACGAAGGAGAGCCACCTGGTACATTATAGCCGTTGTACCTTTAGCAAGCTGGTCTACTGCAGCCAGCATTGAAGTCGGGGAGCTATTTTGATGGTTGGTAATGCGAGTCTTGATGAGCGTTGATTGTGAATTGGCTTCTCGAGGGTTGTGTGGTGTCTGGGAGACCCAAGGTTGTGCAGTGCCGGGCCATGAGTTTGGAGGTGTTGGCGTACGAAGCTTCACATCCAGCTTAGAAAGCACCCTCTCTGGATCGTACGGTATAAGGCCAGCGCCCGCAAAGCCACCCTGTATATTCTTCTCTGTTAGAGACGAAGAAGGCCTCGCGGAAGGCACAGAGGAACTCGAGCTTGCTTATATGGTTAATATGCATACGCATTAAGTCTTCGATCTAGCGACCGTACGCCTATTTTAGCGGCCCAAAGCAGCCAACATCGAGTGGCTGGAGGAGGTAGGAGGAGTGTGGAGGTATGTAGAGCGTAATAATATTGTTCTGCTGGCAGTGGCGCTCGAATTCGGTCGAGTGGTGGCTTTCGTGGCTATCGAGGATCAATAACCGGTATTTGCCTTTTGTACGGGACGCTATATGATAGTCGAAATACTTAATCTAATCTAGGCCTACCGGATTGGTAGTCCATCTATTATCGGTGGTTGCGATGCGCCAGGTGGACGGTAAATTGCACTCGGTATACTAGTTAGCAAGGTGGTACTGTGCGGCTAAGATAATAAAGGGAGGGATAGCCTAGCCGAGGGCATTAACTCCCTGGATCACCGTTACCCATTCGCGGTTACCAGGCTAGGCTAGTTTTGCTTTACTAAGGCCGTCCGAGGTCGTAACTACTATACCCGCGAAGATAATACCCATTATAAACCTAATCTCGTCGAAATTATAGATATCGTTATCTATAATACCGTACTTGGCCTTAGTGTTCCGTATAAGCGCAAACCACTCGACAATAACCTTTAGATCCTCGCACTTAGCCCTCTGGTAGTCGTATCTACGCTAAAACGCGTACGGAGCTGTGGCTAGCGTTTGACGAAGTTGTGTGCCCAGAGCTTGCCAACAGGGGGCGCGTCGCGTACGTATAGCAGTTGGTTGGCCATATCTTCCACACCACGTAATCTTGGTGGAAAAGCTCGCGCACATAGCTCAATGATGTATTGAACAATAGCATCCTCTTCGGATTGAGTAAGCTTCTTCGATTTGGGCGTGGTATCGCGTCGTGCAGGCCGGCCAACGCGTCGTCGTAAGAGAATCGTATGGTGGACGTTGTAGATCTTTCCTGCGGCTCGGAGGCTGAAATTTTTATCTTTTTCAAGAGCTTCGAGGGCTAAGATCACCCTGGCTTCCTTTAAAATAGAAGGCATATTGGGTTGTG